TAAAAGGAGGTGGCAGCAGCTTCCTTGCAGGGTAACTGTAAAAGAAAAGCATTAAAGCGCCTAGCACGTGCTAGGCACATAGCAGCCCCCTTCTTCCACACCAGATCCTTTCAACTGCCACCTCATGGAAGCAGGAGCTGATGTGTACATACCCCTCGTCCATCACCCTCTGAAAACCAGGACTTGTGACCTCCTTTCCAGAATGCCAGAAGCCTGGTGAATCTCAGTCTCTATTGATGGTGAGCACAGAGCTGGCCTCATCTCCTAAACCTTAGCCACTGGGCCCCGAGGCTTGTGGGCTGCTGAGTGCTGCCGGACCCTCTGGGTGGGCTTGACCTTCTCTGAGGTCCCTGTGGACAGGACAGCTGCACGACCCCAGTGGATGCCATTTACATCATAGTTGATGTGAATATCACCTCCTGGAGTTCTGCAGGGAACAGTCCACGAGGCCAGGAACAGTGATTTCCTTAACAGACCCATAACCCCACACAGTGCCATAAGTTAGGATCTCCAGGATGGTCCTCCGTGTGTATGAGCTGAGAAAACACCCAGGTCATACCACGCCTGCTTATGAATCTTTGCTCTTCTAGAAACTTACTCTCAGAGATCCAGGCAGCTTCTCTGACCCTCTATTTCTCTTCCCATTTGTCTCTTTCTCAGTCTTCCCCAAAAGTCATGGTAAAGTGAAAATCACACGTTATTAAATACAATTTATCACTCTCTGCACATATATTTATTTCCCTGTTTAACTTTTCACTCTGGGTTTCCTGGAAATAAAACACGCACACACACACACACACACACACACACACACACACACACACTCACTTTTAACTTGGAAAGACAAGCAGGTACGTGAGACTACAGCTTCATTCCAGGTCTGCGGCAGACATCACTCATCAGCCACAGCACTCTTTCCTCCTGAGCTGGCACAACCTCAGAATCCTTTTTCACCTTACATTCCAAGCAGAGAGTGAGCATCAGTTGGAGATGGCATGGGAGGTGATGTCTATTTACCAGTCCTCAGAAATTCTTGCTCAGAACTTTGCACCACTACGTACAGCCCTGAATGTACCCCAGATCTCTACTATAGGACATCTTGTTCCTTGGGTGTTCATTCTCACATTCAGTGAAACCCATTTGAAGCTCAATCATAGTTTTCCCTCCTCCAAGCAGCCTTCACTCCCAGCATCCTTTTTTCAATTAATGGCATGCCATTTGCCTGGTCCTCCAGGCTAAAAAATTCAAAAATTTCTGACCCCTCCATGTCTCTGTGTTCTCCCCTTCTCAAATCCTGCCAATACCCCCCATCCTGTCACTCTCTTCCTTTCAGTGTTTCTCTGGTTTGTCTCTGCTGCGTAGACCATTATAGTCCCCATTCAGACCTTTTATAGGCTGGCTGCAGTGTGGAAGGAGGGCAGGGTGGAAGATGAGCCTTGAGGTGTAAAGTGTCCCAGGCTGTAGGGAATTTTCTCTGTTCTGAGCTCCCAGTCTCTGTGCCTCCTTAGGACAGATATTATTTTCAACATATTTGAGACACAGGAAAATGATGCCCATGGGATTTGCAGTTCACACCTTTGTCATCACATCCCAGCTCCACAGCTTCCATTCATCCTTCCTCCCTCTCTCGCTGCTTCTTTCCTTTTCGCCCTCCCGCCTTCCATTCCTTCCTTTCATCATATATTTATGGAGCACCAATTATGTGCTAGTCAAAGTCTCTACATGTATACAATGGGATATTTAATGTAAAATAGCTAGCCCAGTGCCTGGGATAGAGCAAGTACTGGATAAATAGGTGGGGGAAGGGCTGATTCTCAGACCTGGAAGTGCACCAGAAATCACCTGACCCTGTCACGTCACAGAGGAGGAAACTGAGGCCCAGAGCAGCTGTCTGAGGTTCCTGCACAAAGGTGGGCAGAACTAAGACAAGAAGCCAGGCGTCTCGATGACAACTTGGTGCACGTTTTGCTGCCACCATTACTGCCTCCACGAGGGGGGTGGATACCCTTGGTTATGTTTCAGGTTGGAGAGGTGAAGCTGGACTCTGAACCCAGAAGCCAAAGTCACGCCTTCTTCCACATTCTTACGCACGCGCACACGCACACACGCGTGCAAACACACACACACACACACACACACACACACACGATGTGAGACTGTCCTGAGCCAAGTCTCCAGAAGGCAGCCAGGGTGGACCAAAGACCCAGCTCACGGGACAACGTGGGGATAATGGTGCTGTTTCTTCCGGAAAGCATCCTGCATCTGCAGCAGAGGCCTCCTCCGTACCTCCTTCCCGCAGCGCCCACATGCCAGGCCTGCAAGCCCTGCCTGCCCTGCTTCAGAAACAGCTCAGAGGGCTTCTCTTCCATCCAGTGAGTTTGTCTAGCCCCACCCTGTCACAGTCTCCTAATGAACAGACTGGGGTGTCTGTCCTCCACGCAGCCCTCAGCACGAACTTTCTAAAATGGAACTCCAGTCATGTCTTGCCTTTGCTTAAACCCTTTCCACTCCTCACTTCCGCTCCAGCCATCCTGCGCTTTCAACCATCATTCCTTTGCTCAGACTGTTCCTTAGGCCTGTAATAGCCATTTCTACCTTTTCACTTGAAAGACATTCCACAAAACAAATAAACAAAAAACAGTAACAAGGGAACACACCTTCACTGCTTTAGAGCATGTGAGTTATAAATGAGAGAAAATCAACCACATCAAACAAAAATAAATAAATAGAATTTATTGGACCTTGTAATTAAAAGGTCAGTGGTAGAACCAGCCTCAGGCAGGGCTGGAACCAGGGGTTCAGATGATACCATTGGGGTGTTTCCTTTCTTTCATCTAGCTTTACCCTCTGCTCGTCTTGTCTTCCTTTGTACATTGGCCACTCCCCGCAGATACTCCTTTGTGTCCAGGGAATATGGTCATAAAGTAGCCTCAACTTATATCATCCTCATAGCCAGATCTGACTTATCTGTGTGTCACAGTAGATGCAGTGCCTTGGGCTCACAATACTTTTAGGGGTCCACAAATATGGTTTCATTTCTTTGAAGTCAGAAGAAAAAAAATGAACTTTTAGTTGAGGTAAATGGTTTAATATCCGATAATATATTCATTTTTATACAAATGCAGTCATAAAATATAATTTTAAATTTTTTATGGAGAAGAGGTGAAAGCCAAAGTGCTTAGGACCCACAAAAGCCACAATAAGGCCCTGTTTGACTCTAAAAAGGAAGAGAGACACTTTCTCTCCCTTTCCATATGTTAAACCTATAGGAAACTCTGTCCCTGATTGGATCATATCCCAGAAAAAGTCACTTTACCTGGAAGGAGGGAAAAGTCTGATTAGCCCACGCTGAGGGGAAATATCAACCTCATACAAACACAAGAAGTGTGGTTTTCTGTAAGAAGAAGGATTCTGTTTCAAGAATGTCTACCAAAATTTGACTCTCTCCCAGTTGATCCTGCCCTTATGATTCCTTTCCCAACACCTTCACCAGCCCCAGAAAAACTAGTTGCCTTTACCTCTATGCTCACCTAGCAGCTTGTTCTAGGGTGATTGTAACTGATTGAATGACAGAATTTCCTACGCTGAGGTGTGAGCTCCTTGAAGACAGAGTGAAGGAGTGGGCAGTAGAAATCTGGTCTATGGGAATGAGCAGAAAGAGGGGTTAGCTCTGCTTTGGGGTGTGAGGAGGAGACCTTTGATCTGTGTCTTAAAGGCTGGAAGTCTTCCTGGAGGAAGGGGTGTTTTAGCTGGGTTTAGGGATGAGGAAGGACTCCAGGGGACAGAAAGAGGTGAAAGGCACAAGGATGGGAAGGACTAGGGTGCAGAGAAGAATACAGCAGGAGATGAGCTGAAAAGAGAATGGGACAAGATCACAGGGGGGCCGTGAGGAAAGGAATTTGGATTTTTTCCACGGAGCGTCTACAGAGGGCTGAAATTGAGTGTAAAATGTTGCATCTTGGTGCCTTTTTCTGCAGAGAAGTTCCGTAGTTTTCTAGATTTCCAAAGGGTTCTCTATCTTAAAATGGTTAGGAATCACTAGTAACAGAGAGGTATTCCAGCTCCTGGAGTGAGGAGTGCCACACTCTAGAACGTAATCAGAACAGCTCTCTGGCTAGTGCTCTGTGGAGGATGGGCTGAAGGAGGAGTAGAGGCTGGGAGAGCTTTGGGAATCTGTTTCGAGAGCCTTAGGGCAGTAATAACCGGAGGAGCAGTTGGAATTAGAAGATGTCGTAGCAGTACCATTAATAGGTGCTTTCTGCCTGGTGGGGGTGATGGAGAGGAGGAGAAAGTGATTCCAAGACTTCCAGTTTCTATCATGATCTTGTCGTAGGATGCTTAACAAATTAGTTTTTAATTTGATGATTGCCTTTGACTTCCTCCTCCCACTTAGATGATGTCTTTTTTTTTGGCTGCGTTGGGTCTTCATTGCTGCACACGAGCTTTCTCTAGTTGCAGCGAGTGGGGGCTACTCTTTGTTGCGGTGCGCAGGCTTCTCATTGCGGTGGCTTCTTTTGTTGTGGAGCACGGGCTCTAGGCACGCAGGCTTCAGCAGTTGTGGCACGTGGGCTCAGTAGTTGTGGCTCATGGGTTCTAGAGTGCAGGCTCAGTCGTTGTGGCACACAGGCTTAGTTGCTCCGCGACATGTGGGATCTTCCTTGACCAGGGCTCGAACCCGTGTCCCCTGCATTGGCAGGCGGATTCTCCACCACTGCGCCACCAGGGAAGTCCCATGATGTCTTTTTTAAAATAGAAATTATTTCATTTGAAACTTAAGGATTTTTTAAGGGTTAACATCTCTGATATATACAAATTTCCACTTTCTGCTTTTCCTTTGAGTGCAGTGTTGCCTTTGTGTCCTGTTCTACAATAACCCTGTGGATCTGTTTGTTGAACCTATTTCTCCTGGTTTTCAATGCTTGGAGAACATCTTTTAAAGTACGGACAGGAATATCAAGACTCTCTGCTTTTCTAAATCCTGACTTTTACACCCTCTGCAGCTACCCGCTCCCTTCCCCAGGGCTCAGCAGCTCGGACCGGCTGCCTTTTGGCCTCGAGGAGAATGGGGGCACACCGTTTGCCACCAAAGCTTCGGGAAGGCACCACCATCACCACCACCAGCACCAGCACCACACTAACTATGGCCTCTCGCTGACCCTGGAGAACAAGGAGGGGCCTTTGAGGTCCCCTAACTCCAGCAGTAAATCGCTTACAAGTGAGTAGGAGTGTAGGGGGCAGGGTGGGGGAGTGATGCTGCAGGGTGTGTGCGGCTTTCCTAGATGCTCAAGACAGCCCCTTGCAGTGCAGCTCGGAACAGTGGTAATGTCTGTGCTGGGTTACCAGGTCTGGGCAAGAGCTGACAAGAGCCTTGTGCATTAGGCAGGGGCCACTTAAAAATTATGATTTACCAGCAAACTGATTTCGTTACAAGAGAGCAAATGTCTCTCCACCTCATTTCATGCCGGTTCTCTGCTTCTGCCATATCCAGCACTGGCTCAAGCAATGGAACGGGGACACACGGGAGTGAGGTGGCTGGAATCTCTCATTCCCAACCACAAGAAAGCCCATTCGGTCCCATTTCTGGCATCCCACTTTTCTGAGAGCAAGGTGTCAAGTAGATCTAGTGCATACCGTTAAAGGTCCCAGCTAGAGAAATTACGGAAATGGAGAGTAAGCAAATTAGAAACGTTTCTAGCAACTTGCCAGAGCAATTTTATATGTGTTAAAACTAATTAAAAATGTGGGCTTGGATTTTGTATGACTGTTCTTTTCTTTTTCTAGAAAATCACTTTTATTATATTTTACCAAAGAATCGGTCTGTGATAGGAGGTGGGGGAAGAACTTGCTCTTTATCACATATGGTTTGAAAAAGTGCCAAGGTAGAGGCAAGAGTCAAGAGGCTTCGATTCTAGTTCTCACTGTTGAGCCAAGTCCCCACTTGGATCCTTGGTTTTCTCGTCTGTGGAATGTGGTGGAGGGTGTTGAGAAGATGACCAAGGAGTCTTCCAGGTCTGATATTTCATAAGTCTGTGGGCTGGTGAAGAGGATGAGCCATTGAGCCTTTACCTGTAGATCACAGGTGGCAATTCTGGGTTGGCGGAGCTAGAAATGGGAACTCATCATCCACTTGGTGTTGAAAAATCAGTCCCTCATCACTACCCGCACTGCCCTGGCCCTGGGCCAGGCCTCATCCTTTTGTATCTGGACAGCTGTAACAGGCCTCTACGGGCACCTCCTCCAGTGGAGTCTCCAAATTGTAGCTGCTAAAGTGAGAGCACTCACCAAAGAGCTCTGACCAAATGCCTTAAGACCTTTCCATGGTACTTCACTGTCCTGGGATAAAGCCAGCACTTCTGAGCATGGCCACACACAGACCTTCACAGCCTGGCCCCTGCCAAGGTCTCTAGCCTTCCCCCACACTCCTCACTACACTCTAGCTACGTGGAACTCCTCTCCTCTCATGAAACACTGTGCCACGTCCCAGCTCTGTCATTTGCACCTGCTGTTCCCTCTGCCTGGAATGCTTTTCTCCACCCTAATGAACTCCTACACATCATTCAGGAACCAGCTCAAAGGTTGTCAGTGAAACTTTCTCTTTACACCCCTCCCCAATTCCTGGCTTTGGAGTGCCCTCCCTCTTGCTCTATATAATTAAATAAATCTTTGGTCGCTCTTATTGGGGGTATCTGCACAGGCATCTGTCTCCCCCACTGGGCTAGAATTGTATCTCATTCATCTCTTTATTCTAGCTTCCCAGATCCCAATTGCTATGAGTACTTGGCACAAACTTTAATACGTAATGAATATTGAATATTTAATGTATTAATGGTTAAAAACAAGCTAGTGGGAGGAGTGGTGGTGAACTAATCCAACTTTCAGAAATCAAAATCAGTGAATTTGATTTTAGAAGCATAAGATGGTTTTTTTTGTTTTTGTTTTTTTTTTTTTTTTTTTGCGGTACGCGGGCCTCTCACTGTTGTGGCCTCTCCCGTTGCGGAGCAACAGGCTCCGGATGCGCAGGCTCAGCGGCCATGGCTCACGGGCACAGCCGCTCTGCGGCATGTGGGATCTTCCTGGACCGGGGCACGAACCCGTGTCCCCTGCATCGGCAGGCGGACTCTCAACCACTGCGCCACCAGGGAAGCCCATAGCATGGTTTTTAAGGGCACATTCATCTGTCTGTTAGCCTGAACACTAATCTTTCTCATTTGCATAGTGCTTTTCCATTAATAAGGCATTGGCACATGAATTACCTCACTTAATATTCACAGCAGCCCTGCAAGGTAAGTAGTTTTATTTTCATTTGAAAATGGCTGAGAGGCTCAGAGAGGTAAAGTGACCTGCCCAGGGCCACTGCTCATATTTGGGAGAGTTAGGCCTTGACACCTCGACCTTAAATGTTCTCACATCCCATCTGCTAGTGCATTCCTGAGAGGTTCAAGCTGCCAGAGGAGAAGCCAGACAGAAAGGCACTGGGAGTCGGGCTCTGGCAAGCATTTTTTATCACCTATATCTCTCTGCCCTTTCAACCTTTCCTTATTCACTTGCAGAACTGAGTCCAGGAGCACCTGCCCTGTTCAGCGAAGCCGCTGCCCATCTAAAGAAGCTGGAACTGGAAACTGTGAAGGCTGCTGGACCCTGGCCTGCTCTGCACATCAACATAAATAAGGTGCCAAGGACTGGAGCTGGGCAATGAGCATGGACCTGGGGTTCACTCGTACCTCTCATTATTACCCTGTCTGCCTCCTAAACTATGTGCCTTTGTCTTGGAGGGATTTCTACTCAATCTTTTTCTGCTCAGCATGTCTCTTAGGAGCAGAAATTCATTTACATTCTTTTGGGGTAGATTACAGCACTAGGGGCTGCCCCCAGTGCTGAGGCCCAACAGGCTGGATCTGTTAGTGGTCTCTCCATCCTTCTAACTGAAAGTTCCAGGAGAGAAGCATCCACATTTACCTCTTTCCGTTTTTACCCCTCTGTATTAGTCTGCATTGGCTACTATGACAAATTACCATAGACCCGGTGGCTGAAACAACAGATATTTATTTCTCACTGATCTGGAGGCTAGGAAGTCTAAGATCAAGGTGCCAGATGACTTGGTTCCCTGGTGAGAGCTCTCCTCCTGTCTTGGAGCTGGTCCCCTTCTCACTGTGTTTTCACTTGCCAGAAGAGAGGGATCTTTCTTTCTTCCTCTTCGTAGAAAGCCACTAATCCCATCATGAGGGCCCCACCCTCATGACTTCATCTAAATCTAATTACTTCTCAAAGGCCCCGTGCCAAATACCATCACAATGGTGGTTAGGGTTTCGACATATAAATTTGGAGAGAACACAGTTCAGTCCATAGCACCCTCTATCTCACTCAGACAGTACCTGGCACATCGTAGATGTTCAGTAACTGTTTGCTAATGGAAGGAAGGGAGGGATGAAAGTAGGGAGGGCAGGCGGAGGAAGGGACAGGGCAGAAACCAAGCTCTCTTTTGGCTAGACCTGTTCTTATATCCAAATGGGTAGCCTTATAAAAGCCAAGTTTTATCTTAGAACTGTAGAAAGCTGGTGCTGAATTCAGTCTGTCATTTAGTTCAGCCTTTTCAACATCTGAGACCAGAGGAAAGGTAATGGCTTTCCCAAGGTCACAGAGCAGTGGTGAAGCCTTGGGCTTCCGACTCCTGGTCCAGTGCCCTTTGCACTCCAACATGCTTCTTCATTTTCTACACCAGGATTTCTCAGCATAGGCCCTAGTGGCATATTGGCCTGATAATGTTGTGTGGGGGGCTCACCTGTGCCTTGTAGGATGTTTTACAGCACCCCTGGCCTCTCCCCACTCGATGCTAGTAGAACCCCCATCCAGGTGTGACAACTAAAATTGTCTCCAGACATTGCCAAATGTCCCCTGAAGGGCGGAATTGCCCCTGGTCGAGATCCACTGTTGCGCACATATTTTAATTTTTAAAATCCCCATAGGAATAGTATTCTTTACTCATGGGTCATTTTTTTCCACCCTGATGCTTAGCTTTGCCCCTTTATAAGAGGGAATAGGAGGAATTTGGAAGATCTGGCCTGGAAAGCTCCCCCTCCTTACCTGCACTGGTGAACGTGGGAAGGTTATACCTCCTATCGGGGCTGTTCCTCCACCCCAGACATCCCTCTAGCCTGCACTACACTTCCAGCATTTCTCAGAAGACCCTCCACTCCCTTGCAATCCCACACCCCAGCGGGGCAGCCTAAAGTCCCTCTGATCACTAAAGGGCCCCAACTTCAAGACACCCTGTTCACCCACTTTTTCTTTGATACTACCCTCCCTGATAGCCAGCTGGAAAAAAATTCCTCCTGCAGGATGGCACTTATATTCTTTCAGTCAATAAATCTTTATTGAGCAGGCCTCTGCCAGGTGTTGGGAGTCAGCCTGATGGATTGTGTGCCCCTGGATTTGTCTTCTCTCTCTTAGTATCCTGACTGTCAACTTTTCTTCTGCAGCCCACACAATAAATTGTTTTAACAAGAACTTACCTGGAGTTTGGCAAAATCCAAAAATATTTTGCAGGGAAGTATAGCATACAGTAGCAGAGAACTCACAAGCTCCAGGTAATTAGTAGTTGCACGAATATTGGTGGGACATCACCAATAATGGCTTGCTCTGGGTTAAGATGTAGCTGAGACAGCTGTGAGTTACTGAGCATTTCCCTGGCGCTCAAGCAACAATACCCCTCTTTTCTCCTCCACTTGAAGAAATGCATCAGTGAGCAAGTAGCCTAGAGTAATGTCAGATAACCTTGACTTTGTCCTAATGCATAAGCAAAGTATATTACTTCATACTATGATTCTTTTTTTTTTTTTTTTTTTTTTGTGGTGTGCGGGCCTCTCACTGTGTGGCCTCTCCCATTGCGGAGCACAGGCTCCGGACGCGCAGGCTCAGTGGCCATGGCTCACGGGCCCAGCCGCTTCGCGGCATGGGGGGTCCTCCCGGACCGGGGCACGAACCCGTGTCCCCTGCATCAGCAGGCGGACTCTCAACCACTGCGCCACCAGGGAAGCCCCATACTATGATTCTTTATCATTAATAAAACAATCCTCACAACTCATCATGATACCACAATTGGGAACCAGTGGTTTTGATGGCTTTTAAGGTTTTTTGCAGTCTGAAGAATCCTCTGATTTGTCTAAGGTTTGGATATGTTAATGGTGAGAAGACGTTTGGTTGCCCAATTCCAAAAGCATACCCAAAATTATCACAGGAATTTAAATCTCATCAGATTTCAAATGTGTAAACAGTTTGTATCAACAAGTGAAAACTGCATCTGATCATTTCTTTATCCCCAAATGACATCCTCAAACAGAAGACCATTTCCAATTATAATAGTATCAAAGCCCAATTATCATTCATTTGTATGTTTTGAAATCTGTTTTTCCATATTGAACGATAAAGCCTCTTTTCTCAATTCAAATTGAATGTAAAATACAAAATATGGCCATGCAAAAGAGAGAAAGCACAGCATTCTGGGTGCCGTCCTCCAGGCTGTAATTATGGTCTTGTTGTAATCCACATGTTTATCCCTCATAGAGATGCCTTTGTTGCAAACATATTCATGTAATAACACTCAGATTTTCCAAAATTTATATTGGTCTTCACCTGAGTCAAGTTATAGAGCTGAAAGGTAGCTCCTTCTTTTCAGAACAAGCCAGCTTGAATTTATATCCAAAAAGCAGTTTAGAATTAATAAATTCAAGGGGAAAATCAATGCTAAATTCTCACTCTTATTTTAGCAGCATTCAATTTTTTTTTTTTAAAGTAGGTCTTCGGTCATTACTGTCAGTATAACCATATCCCCTGAAGCAATTGTCAAAAATCTCAAATGGGCTTTAGGACCAGTTCAATTCTTGTATTCCGGCATATCATTCCAAAAAATTAGATCTAATTAAAAAATTAACTCATCATACACCAGTGAAAACACCCATGCTAGTATTATCTTTTACATATCTTTTCAACAATTATCTTAATGTAACAGGATTTACATGTACAAGATAAATTCTACTAAAACTATACTGTAACTAATAAACAAGTTACTGTTTTGTTTCAGAGAACGCTACGTCTCTTAGGATCCTGACTCCATTCAAAACAGTCTATTGTCTTTATACTCAGCTTGATCTTAGGACCATTAGTGTCCTCATATCCGATGCTCTCTTTGTAGTTATGTATTGTTTTCTAACCAAAGATTCTAATGTGAGAGTGCCATTCATATCCTTTTTTCCCATGTGATTGTCATGATAATCTTATGAAGAAAGAAACAGCCTCAGAGAGGTTAAGGGGTGCCAGTGTGGCTGGTGGTCAGGGGCTCTAGCTTCGGAGTCACCCAGTCTGGGTGTGAATCTTGGCTCTTCTGTGTACTTCCTGTGTGACCTTGGGCAAGTGACTTGCCATCTCTCTGCTTTGTTTTTCTCATCTATAAAATGGGGATGGTGATAGTACCTACCTTCAAATGGGATGGTTAAATGAGAGGATTCAATGAGATGTGCATATGAAATCCGCCCCCCACCCGCCCCTTACCCTCCTTGTCCTTCATCTCCATCACCACCACCATCATCATCATCTTGTTTATGGTGCTAGTAAGGGAAAGAGCGGAGATTCAAATCCAGGTCTTCTGTCTCTGCTTATCTTACTGTTTTGTGAAATTGCTGGGTTCAGCTTGTTCTACCACATTCCCTCCATATGTTTGGAGGTCCTGCTGGGAAACTGCATTCTCGGCCCTCTTTTCTTTATTCAATGATGTCAACCAGCCAGTTGCCCTATGCTTCCTCTGGAGCTTTCATAAAACCCCTACTATGTGTATCCAGGTGCTCAATAGGACTTTTGAATTAGTGAATTAGATTAATTTTGGAAATGGCAGAATTGGAGGCCTTTAGAACATTTTGTTCTTGCCCTGGTACATTGTGGCTAATGTGCCGTATTAAGTCACTAAATTGACTTTTAGAAATCATATGGTCTTGTATCTTTCTTATTAAACACATATCTTCCAATAATAACCATATATTATTATAATCGTCTTCAGTAGACATGTATTAAGCACGTGCTGTGTGCCGAGCACCATATTAGCGCTGGGATATACAATGGCCACAATAGGCATGCTTAACAATATGACATTATTTCCCAGAGTATGATGTGTGTACCCTCAGAGACGATTTCAGGTTCTATACATGGATGAGTATTTTTTAATAGTTACATAATTATCATAATTTATGTCATAATAAATATAATAGCCACCAAGTCTATGATGTCAAAGATACTATTGCTTAGGACACACTTAAAATTGGTGGTCCCAGCGTAATCCACCTTAACTGGATTGTACGAATTATAGGTACATGTTTAGTTAATACATGAGAAATGGCAAAAATAGCAAAGGTGGTACCAGATTATTGAAGTCTGAGACACTCTAAAATGAGGCAACATAGATACAAATTTCTCATTGAGAATCACAATTTTCAGCAAGATTATTGTAAAAATACCAATTAGTATTTTGTACTCTTTCCCTTAACCCAGCAAGTCACAGAATTGGGTCTTTATATGTAAGAAGTAGCAGTTATGGGGGAAATAGCACTGCAGCTGGGTGTAGGAAACTCGGAGCTTGAGTCCTGGCTTTACCTGCATGAATACTGGAAGAGTCTCTTCTCTTTGGACCTTCCCCATCTTCTGACTCATGGGCTTCCTAATACAACCTCTCCCTGCTTCACGTGAGAATGAGAGGATTGAGAGGATGTGCTTGTGAATCCTTTGCAAATAGTAAAAGCACTGGTACAAACATAAGGAGTTAGTGACACACTTTTCTGTATGTTTATGTCTTTGGGTTATTTGCAGTGATGATTGATGGGAAAGATTAATGTATGTGTTTTCTTAGTTCTTTGTTTACAGTCTGTTGCGTGTATTTTGGTTCATCTCAGGCTGAAGAAAAAAAGGTTTCTGAGAAGACTCTTCAGACCCCACTTTTGCCTTCCCCCGTGGCTGATCACGTTAAGTGCAACATTTTAAAAGCCCAGCTGGAGAATGCTTCCCGAGCGAGCGCCCAGGTGCGTACCATGCATGCAAGCCTTTGATTTCACGTTGCGGGATTTCCTCTGTGCCACGTAGAAGAAAGAGGCATTCTAGGACTGAGACGCTGTGTCAGTCAGGGTGCAGCCAGGAGATAGGAACCACACCTGTTATGTGCACAGAGTTTTTAATATAAAGAGTCATTAACTGGTATAGCTATAACTGGGTAAGTGAAAGGGCCAGCTCTGTACGCTGTGGTGGGTCTGAGGACCACAGGCTGCTGCATCTCCTGTTGACCTCCAGTGTGTGTTCAGCTGGCCTGGCTGGCTGAGTGGGTGTCCTTTTCTTCCCCACCATTCTTTATGGGACTCGCCAGAGGGAAGAGGACAGGCTTCTATCAAAATCCTATGACATAATTCCTCCCAGGCTCGGTACACTGATGTGAAAGGACAGCTTCTAAACTCTTTTGTCAGCTGTAAGTGCTGTGTGAGCATAGAGCTGCTTATTATTCCTGATCTAAAATGTGAAGTGGGGGATTAAACTGTGGGTTTGGCTTTTCTCACACCATCCTCTTCTCATTCCAACAGGAGCTGGCACGTAGCAGGTGCTCAATATGAGTGTGAATGCAAGCATTGATTTTATTTGAATGATTACGTGTTAATCCCTGCGATGGGGAATGACTCAAGAAAACATTTTTTGTTAAATAAACACCGGAAAATTTTGTTATTGACTGAGTACTTGATGATCTACCTCTTTGATACACCTTCACATCTCTGTAATCCTTTGAATGTAGGAGACTTGGAAACATTTTTGCATGCCAAGATGTCCAGTTTTGACGAACCTTCCTGTTTTCTTTAACAGGTTGGAAAAGAGGAATCAACGTTTGTAAATATCAATAAGAAATCCAGTCTTCAGGACGCTAACGTAAGGTCTGTTGCTTCTTGTTTGAATGGGGAAACAATAGTACCTTCAGCATTATCCTCAAAACATTACTCATGAGGGCATTTGCTAATAAAATAAAGAGGAAAAAGAAAACAGAGAGAATGTGAGCCTGAAGCAAGAGAAGAGGACTGTCATAAGCAACTTCCTTTATGCCTCAGAAATGCCACTTATTCTGTTTTAATATTTCTACCTGATGTGCCAAAAAAGAAATCACTTTTGAGATGCTTCTCAGGCACGTAGATCTGACCTTGTCATTCCCCTGCTTAAAGTCACGGTGGAGTCCGGACTCCTTAACAGAGCATAGGGTGACCTTTATGACCTGGCTTCTGCTCCCTGTCCCAGCTCAGTTCATCCCTCTTCCCGTGGTCCGTTCACACGCTCCTTATCTGAGCTCCTTGAAGTACTAGAACCACAAATGTTCTTTAAAGCCTCCAGGCTACCACCAACCCAAACCCAGAGGAAAACCTCCCTTTCCTGATCTCATAGAAAGCAGACACTCTTCCCCTCCCAGCCCAAGTGAGTAACAACCTGTAGATCATGGCAGCCCCACTGACGCCTTGGCAGCCTGCTAACATTGGTGGGGGTCTCCCTAGGATAGAGTTTCCTAAAATGGGTCCAAGGAGCACTGCAACCATATTTTGTTAAAACCAAAGACTCAGGTCCTACTCCAGACCCTTCAGATCCTTTGGTGGAAGACGGGGTGGGTGTTGTTGGGGGGGGAGGGGGGAGGGGGGGAAGGGAGCGTGGTTGTGGTAGGGGAGGCCAGGAATAAGAATTTCAAAAACACCCAAGGTGACATAGGAACCACTACCCTGGGGAATACTTGATGCTAAAAATAAAGCCTAATATTTCTCTATGTCATCTCATGATGCCTGGCCCATGTTCTTGGTATAAATTTGTCTTCCTCCAGAGACCCATACCCAGCTGCCTCTTGGACTTTTCAAAACCTTAATTCATCTCTTCCCACCCTACCCTACTGTCCCTTCACCAGTTTTCCTATCTTGGTCAGTGGCATCGTTACCTACCTGTGATCCAGACCTGAGGCCGGGGAGTCCTTGACCGTTACCTACCTCATGCCCTCATCTGATTAGTCACCAAGTCCTGCCAATTTGACTTTCATATTATCACCCACATCCATCCTCTCCTCTTCAGGACCCTCTTCCCGGCCTACCCCCGGGCCTCACCATTTCTCATCCTGGATAACCACTACTGCAGTCTTCTAAGATGCTCCCAACTGGCCTGCTTTCACCAGCATCCTTTGATGCTCTAAGGGCCTTTCTAAAATGCAAGTCTGACCTTGCCACTCCCTTGCCTAAAACCTTCAGTGACTGCCTTTGCCTTCAGCGTAAACAGCTCATCCTGAGGTGCCTCAGGCCCTGGCCCCTGCTTTCCCCTCTAGTCACAATCCCCTGCTCTTCCAATGGGACCTTACCCATCAGCAGTTCCGGGTCTCCACTCTGTCTCCCACCTTGGAAGTCTTACCTCCATCTGGTTGAGTGTAAATCCCTCCTTGAAGCTTTCCAGACACCAACCATTTCACCCAAGCAAAGTTATGTGCTCCCCTATGTGTTCTTCCAGGGACCACGTTCTGTTGACTCTGGGGTCCCAACTTGAGGAAATCATGAACCTAAAGTATGTTGACTCCAATTTCGTATTTGCTCATTCACATGTTTCTTTAACAAACATTTCCTGGGCACTGGCCACCTACCTATCGCCATATTAGGCATTGAATAGAAGGGAAGATGGAGGTCCAGAAGTGTTAACTGACTTGCTAGAGGTCCCTTGCTGAGAACCTCAATTTGTTTTGATGCCTGTTGGTCCCCGAAGGTAACTTCTGGTGTTTTAAGTGAAATCAGTCACGTACAAAAATGTGTAAAAGCTTTACCTTAAAATCACTGGTTTTGAGTAAGCCCATTGGTTATCTGGCATATTTTCTTGAGGAAATATAAAAATGAAACTTAATTTTTAACATTTTCACCTAGACATAGAATTAAAATGTTTCAGAGTAAGTCTTAAAGGTCTTCTGATTATGCATTTTCACATGAAACACTCTAATCATTATTTATCTCTCTTTTTAAAAAATATATTCTGTGCTACGTTTAAAATAACATAGCTACCAGATTACTTGGAAGTAAAAACGGGTTATCCACAGGTTTCTCTTTACTCATTTTACTGGCGAAACCTGGTTATGAACCAAAACCTAAAATTAGGAGTGGGTGTTTTTGGCAGGGAAATTTTATGTGGTACCCCAATTATGTTCAGTTCCTGCTTGCTGTATTTTCTTCCCTATGATTTTTTTGGTCTTGGCTTTTCTGTGGTATTTTTAAATAATTTTATGTAATAAGTAAAGAGGAGGGAATAAAAAGGATATCTTGACTGTCAATGTTATTAAGGTATAAATTAACTGAGAAAGCAGTCCCTATAGCCAAAATCAGACCATAAACCTTTTTATTGGTGGTGTTCTGCTTTTCTGGTGTGTCTCTAGAAGTCCTATTCCTATACGTGTGGAAACTACCCAACCAGCTGCGGAAAAGCCGGAAATCAAGCCTCCCCGAGTGCGGAAGTTAACGAGACAATACAGCTTGTGAGTTCTATGCTGCAGGTTTTTCAATTATAACAACAAAGGTGATGCTAAATGTCCAGTTGTAAATGCTTCTTAGCCCTTCACACCATTCCCAAAGAGCTGTCCCCAAAATAGAGTCTGTTTCCAATTTAAGTCATAGTGGGACTGGATCTTTCCCCCTGAAAACATGACATGATTGGCATATGTATTCATCATTGATTGCTGTGTAACAAATTACTCCAAGATTTAGTGGCTTAAAACAATCCACATGTATTACCTCACAGTTTCTGTGGGTTGGGAATCCAGGCATGGCTTAGCTGGGTCTTCTGGGTTAGAGTGTCCCTTAAGGCTGCCTTCAAGGTGTTGGCAAGGGCTGCAGTCTCATCTGAAGTCTCATTCATGCCGTGTGGGACAGGATTCAGTTCCTTGAGGGCTGCTGGACTGAGGACATCATTCGTTGCTGACTATTGGCTGGAGGTTGCCCTTAGTTCCTAGTCATGTGGACCTCTGCCGCTTTCTCCATAGGAGAAAACACACAAGAAGAGCCAGAGAGAGCGCTAAGAAGGTGACATCACAGTCTTCTATAACCTAATCTCGGAAATGACATCCCATCACTTTTGCCCTATTCTGTTCATCTGAAGCAAGTCCCTAGATCCAGCCCACACTCAAGGAGACAGGCTTCTTCAGGGGCACAAGTAGCAGAAGGGGATCAGGGGAAGCCATATCGGATACTGCCTCCATGGTGCCGTAGTGAAACGGTAGCATTATCTGTCCACAGAGCCAAAGCTGATCCCTGAGCTATAGGAAGGAAGAGCCATAGTCCAAAGTGTCCCAGAACCGCCAGGACCTGTCCAGTTCTGTTCAGCTTAACAAAAGCTGTTTTGGCTACCATGTGCACAGGGATATTCTAGGCACTGTGGGGGAAGAACAAAGTGACTTTGACAATTCCCATGCAAGGACTCATAATTTATTAGAGGGAGAGACAGATTTCCCTCTAATAAATTATAATTATAATCCAAAGAAGACAGGCAAATGCTACAGTAAGGGTGGTGGTATATTAGCATAATCACAATGGTAGTTAGAATTTCTTGACCTTGGCTATGGCCCAGGTATCGTGCCTGGATGTATAATTGGTCAGAGAGCTGCAGGGGGATATTTGGGTGCAGTGGAAAGCGTGGGGCTCTGGAGTTAGAAAGGCTTCTGGTTTACTGTTACAAGCTCTTGGGAAAATTACTCTTTGAACGTCTCCTTCGTCTGTAAAATGGGTAAGGATTTTGTGAGGGTAAACATGAGATAATGTGGGTAAAGCCCTAGCTTTCAGCCTAGCCCTGGCTGAAAGATGAGTTAGTTCCCCTTCCTTTTTCTTATGGACCTGAAGCCTCTGAAGAGGTCAAGTTTAGGAGGTCCTGAGAGTACAGAGTATAGGACAAGGAGTGTAACTCCAGATGCAGTTCTCAAACAGCCAGCTCAGGCCTGCCACTTGCACCTTGTGAAAAGGAGAAGAAAGGGGAGTGCGGTTTCAGGGCAGACACATCCCACCTCATTAGCGTTAATAGAAGTTTCTTGACAGTATAGCAGCTGTATTTCCTAGGGAAGCCAAAACGAGTAAGATTCAAATAATTAGCAGTCCTAATGATCTCTGGGGGACAAATTAAACCATGAAAAATCTGCTCCCCTGAGGATAAAGCTGGCAGGATTAACCTTTCACATTTCAGAACTCAAAATGTTATCATCACCCATTCGGGATATGTAATCACTTTGGAAGCAATGACTAACACATGACCTGGAAGGAAAGAAAATTTAGCTAACTCACCAGATTGCCTCTTTTAAGGAAGCCATTGTCAAACCTCTAACTTCATGTGTATTTCTTAAGATACCCCAAAGTATTCTGCTTTGAAAATCAAAGAATGGCAGCATTTTTCCCATTAGTAGTAAATAGCAAAATCGATGGATGAGATTTTCCCAGTTTTAAGTTTTCATCCCATAAATAGTAATGGTACTGTTGACACTCGTTACCACTTCTTTACTCATCTCTTCCACTCGTAGATATGGATAAAGTTAATAAACACTTGGTTGGGGATACAGATTGGAAAACCTCAGATTTCCCATTTCCTAAAAAATAATTCTGCATCATTAGTTTTGAGATGCAGGGGTGTGTGTGCCCTTTTTAGCTGTTACAGTATTAGTTCCTAGGCCAGAATAATGTGTGCTTGTTTGGGTTTTAGGGTACTCCATCAAAGCATCATGATATTCAGGTGCTCTGAAAAAGTTTTCAAACTGCTGCTTTTTAGGATATAAACAAAAATCTCAGCTGTGTTCTTTTCTTGAAATACGGCATAGGGAGGAAAGGTGTGGCTGCTGTGTGCAGAGTGAAAGGAGAAGCAAACTCTGCAAACAGTTGAAGGCAGGTGAAAGCATCATCTTTATATTGATGTCAGCTGGTATGTTTAGAAAATGATGAGCTGCTTAATTTTTACCCAGATATATAACTTAACTATGTATTTAAACATAGTGTAAAAATCTAAAGGTAGTCAGGCAAGACAGAAAAGTCCAAAGAGAAAAGTAACTAATTCCCTAGAATCACACCGTCAAAAATAACCAAGGTTCACATTTATGACTATTACTCTAGACATTTTTCTATGCATATATTGTTAAAATAGAAATCATTTCAAAGAAAAGACTCATACTACTACATAAAATTTTACTTATTAAAATGTTTCATGAATTTACCTTAGACACCAGGTGTTCGTCATAAATCACATTGATAGCATAAGCTATCTGGCATAGCTCAAGGTCTTAGGTGTGCAAAGACACACTTATCCAGCAGGATATTCCAAGGGTCCAGAGGTTCTCTCAGGAGCTTGTCAGTGGCCAATGGTTCCTTTGGAATGTACAGGGTTTGAGCATCTGGGGCCTGCTGAGTTAGCCCTTTCCTGTGCAGGCAGCAATCTGGCTGGCAGCAAGGGAGAGGGAACTTGTCTATTTCTATAAATTTGAGAAAATACTGTCCATGCTAAGGGTGGGGGATTGATGGTGCTGCTCTGTGCTGGGATGATCAGATCAGAAGAGCTTCCAGCCTTGACGTAACTTGTGGGAAGTCAGGCCTTCCCAACAAAGCCAGGCCCTGGAGATAAGCCCCAGCTGCCGTGAGGGAGACTTCTCCCACATGGTGACTTCCTGTCTAGTGTCCTTTCCATCCTGGCTCATCCCACTCCATCAGAGAGGGTCGAAGACCAGAGCTGCTTGGCCCCAAAACAATTGTGTGCAACTCCTTCTCTATAATCAGTTTATCACACCGAAGAGACAGTTGCTGTTAGGCCACGAAAGGAGTCATTACACCCTTCGCTCAGAACAGGAGGTTCCTACAAGTCTTATGCTTACCCTCCTAAGGGAGGCTCCTCAGAATAACATCCCTTGGTTTGGTGGTTCCTCAAAACATTAAACATAGAACTACCATACAACTCAGCAATTCCACTCCTATGTGGAATTTCAGTTCAAAAGAGTTGAAAGCAGAGACTCAAACAAATGTTTGAACACCAGTGTTCATAACGGCACTACTCACAATGGCTAAAAGGTGGAAACAACCCAATTGTCCATCACCAGATGAAGGGATAAACAAAATACAGTCTGTCCATACAATGGAACGTTACTCAGCCATAAAAAGGAATGACATTTTGACTTATGTGATGACATGGATGGACCTTGAAAACATTATGTTCAAACAAGCCTGACACAGAAGAACATTTGCTGTATGATTCCACTTATACGAGGTACCTAGAGTAGTCAAATTCATCCGGACAGAAGGCATCGTGGGGGAGGGGTGTGGAATTTCCCCTTTACCCTTTTTGAGTTCTTGTGGCTGGACTAATAATAAACTGAAAAGGTTAAAAAGAAAGAAATTTTAACTCATGCACATGGAGGTCTCATAGAAATGGAACCTAAGAAGTGCCCAAAGCAGGCAGCTTTTCTACTTTTTAGACAAAGAAACAATAAAGTTGTGCGGAATTGACAGGTGCTCATTTAGTGAAGAATCTAGACAGAGTTTGGGCTTGGGGTAGTAACTTAAAGAAGTAACAGGGTTTGTTTATACAGGCCTCTAGGCCCAAATCCCCTGACTCTGATGATAAAGGGGTCCTTCTATCTTCAGGTGCAGGGAGCACACCTTTCACACGAGAGATTTATTTCCTGCTTTCAGGGAGACAGAAAGGAGGGTCAGAGTGTTGCCCATTTCTTAAGTAACTTTAATTCAAAATAATCAATATGACAGACCTTTATAGCACGTAACAAGCAGAAAGGAGAAAGTCTGTCAGAAATTAAGGAATAACTGGGGCTTCCCTGGTGGCACAGTGGTTAAGAATCTGCCTGCCAATTCAGGGGACACAGGTTCGAGCCCTGGTCCGGAAAGATCCCACATGCCGTGGAGCAGCTAAGCCCGTGGGCTACGACTACTGAGCCTGCGCCCCAAAGCCCATGAGCCACAACTACCAAGCCCACATGCCACAACTCCTGAAGCCCGCATGCCTAGAGCCCATGCTCTGCAACAAGAGAAGCCACTGCACTGAGAAGCCCGTGCACCGCAACAAAGAGTAGTCCCTGCTCGCCGCAACTAGAGAAAGCCTGCGTGCAGCAAAGACCCAACACAGCCAAAAATACATAAATAAAATAAATAAATTTATTTTAAAAAAAAGAAATTAAGGAATAACTTTTTACAACATTTTAGGTTACAATTTAACATCATGAAGAGGAGAAGAAAACTTGAGGCCCTAAACAAAGTTTCAGTATTCTCTTGGAAACCAGTACAAACTATATTGATAAATATTTATTTCTAATTTAAATGCCAAAAGTAATTACTTTTTCTTACTAACTACCACAGGAAAAAATTACCCTAAGTTGTTTTTAAAATGCAAATTTTCATAACTAGGATATTACATCTCATAGTTAATACATACTTTGCTTAATAGTAAAACTATCTCTTACCAGATTAATTTAAAAATCCTGGGCCCTCGGGCCGTCCCCCAGCCCTGGAAAACACTGGCTGCCCCAAGGGGGCAGCTTGGCTGCTGGCGGTGTGGCAGATTAGGGAGGGAACGAGGAGAAAAGCAAATGGCCGTCTCTTCCCCGCTCCAGAACGTGCTCGCGTTCCTGCTGGGGCTTTCGAGAATCTCGAGGCAATCTTGCAAGCCGTATTTGAACTGGCCAAAGACAACTTCAGACCTGTATAATGTAACAGAAAAGGTCAGAAAACATTAGGCAGTAGAAGTGTGAGCATATTAAGTAAGATGAACGTCTCGGGAAGCAGTTGCGGAGGCCCCAGTTCTGCAGATGTATCTAATGACTTTAAGGATCTTTGGACAAAACTAAAGGAGTATCATGATAAAGAAGTACAAGGTCTACAAGTAAAAGTAACCAAACTGAAAAAGGAACGAAGTTTAGATGCACAGAGACTAGAAGAATTCTTCACCAAAAATCAACAGCTGAGAGAGCCATGGAAAGTCCTTCATGAAACCATTAAAGTTTTAGAAGATCGATTCAGAGCAGGATTATGTGATCGCTGTGCAGTAACCGAAGAACATATGCAGAAGAAACAGCAAGAGTTTGAAAATATTCAACGGCAGAATCTTAAACTTATCACAGAGCTTATGAATGAAAAGAATGCAGGAAGAAAATAAAAATCTTTCTGAACAGCTGCAGCAGAAAATTGAGCATCATCGACCACGTCAAGCACCCGGTCTTGAATCTGAGGAAGATGTTATTCCAGATTCACCAATAACAACCATTTCATTTTCTGGCGCTAACCGACTACGAAGGAAGGAGAACCTCCACGTCCGACACGTAGAACCAACACATACTAAACTGGAGCACTCTGGGTGTGCACGTGAATGGAGAAAAGTACCACAGTCTTCAACTCATTCACAACATAAACATAATGAACGTGAAATTCTAGTGGCTGACACGCGATCAGAGTCAAGCTCCAGTGGCTAATACACATGGAAAAAGCAGTTATCCTCCTGATAATTTAGCTGCAGTTGTTGCTGAAACACTTGGACTTAGTGCTCAAGATGAGTCTGAATCTCGAGGTCCTATGAGCCTTCTTGGTGATGAGCTCTACCACTGTCTGGAAGGAGATCACAAAAAACCTTTTGAGGAATCTAGAAGAAATAGTGAAGATAGTTTAAGATTTTTAGATTCGAATTCAAAGACTCCTCCTCAAGAAGAATTGACTACTTGGGTATCATCTCCTGTATTTGGCGCTACCCCTAATGTGAAAAGTAATTTAGGTTTGAATACAAGTTTGTCCCCTTCTCTTTTAGAGACTGGGAAAAAAACCCATCTGTAAACAACGCCTTTCAGCAACACTTCTAATTCTAGACCAGAGAAACCTAGATCAAAATCTGAAGATGGTGCCCTTTTCACACATCATAATATCGGGGCTGAAGTGAAGAAGATCACTAACCAGTCATCTTCTAATAAGCAGGTGCTTATAAATAAAAATACAAGTGAACAGGATAGTATTGATCACATTAAAGATACTGTTACTGTTAAAGATACTGTTACTGATAAACATGAAATCACCGGGAGGCCGAATCAAAAGGAAGAAAATCAAGGAAGAAAGTGAAGATGAAGTAAGCTGCCCCCAAGCCTCCTTGGATAAAGAAAATGCTTTTCCTTTTCCACCAGATAGTCATTCTTACATGAATGGAGACTATGTGATGGATAAACCTCTGGATCTGTCTGATCGATTTTCACCTATTCAGCGTCAAGAGAAAAGCCGAGGAAGTGAGAAATCTAAAGTCGGGTTTAGGCAAGTGACTCTCTATGAGGTTTTGAAGCCTGTTCCAAAGGGCTCTTCCTCAAGCCGTAAGACCTTGAGTGGGAGCTGTGGGTTAACCAGAGATTCCCCAGAAGAGCCCAGCAGTTTACAGGAGTCCCTCCTCCAGTCCTTGAGTAAATCTCCAGATAATAAAACACTGTTACAAATAAAGGAAGAAAATTCTATCTTTAAAACTCCTCTACATCCACGTGAAAGTTTGGAGACAGAGAATCTTTTTGATGACATGAAGGGTGCTGGTTCTCGTGAGCCTCTAAAAATAAAAACCAGGTCAGTCCATGGAGCATGTGAACTTGCATCAGTTCTTCAGTTAAATCCATGTAGAATTGCTAAAACAAAGTCTCTACAAAACAACCAAGATGTATCCTTTGAAAACATCCAGGGGAGTATAGATCCAGGAGCAGACCTTTCTCAGTATAAAATGGATATCACTGTAGTAGATACAAAGGATGGCAGTCAGTCAAGATTAGCAGGAGGAGAGACAGTGGACATGGACTGTACATTGGTTAGTGAAAGTATGCTTTTAAAAATGAAGAATCAAGGGCTTCCCTGGTGGCGCAGTGGTTGGGAGTCAGCCTGCCGATGCAGGAGATGCGGGTTCGTGCCCCGGTCCGGGAAGATCCCACATGCCGCGGAGCGGCTGGGCCCGTGAGCCATGGCTGCTGAGCCTGCGCGTCCGGAGCCTGTGCTCTGCAGTGGGAGAGGCCACAACAGTGACAGGCCCGTGTGCCACAAAAAAAAAAAAAAAAAAGAATCAAGAGCAGAAGGGAGAAAAAAGTCCAAATGGAGAAAGAAAAATGAATGATAGCTTGGAAGATATGTTTGATCAGACTACACATGAAGAATATGAATCCTGTTTGGTGGATAGCTTCCCCCAACTAGCAGATGAAGAGTTGTCAACTGCTACAAAGAAACCAAACTCTCCTGGTGATAAACAAGATAAAGTCAAACAGAAAGCATTTGTGGAGCCATATTTTAAAGATGATGAAAGGGAGACTAGCTTACAAAATTTTCCTCATATTGAGGTGGTCCGGAAAAAAGAAGAAAGAAGAAAATTGCTTGGACACACGTGTAAGTAATGTGAAATTTTTTATGCAGATTTTCCAGCAGAAGAAAGAGAAAAGAAGTTGGTTTCCTGCTCAAGCCACCGATTTCGCTACATTCCACCCAACACACCAGAGAATTTCTGGGAAGTTGGTTTTCCTTCCACTCAGACTTGTATGGAAAGAGGTTACATTGAAGAAGATCTTGATCCTTCTCCTCGTCCAAAAAGACGGCAGCCTTACCATGCAATATTTTCTCTGAAAGGCAAAGAGCAGAAGACATAAATGTTGAAGCAAAAACAGGAGAGATGACAATATTCTTTTTATTTATAGTTAAGGTTGGTATTAAACATTGATTTTTTTGATCTTCTGAAAACTGATTTATAAATCATTTTTCTATTGAAAATGTTTTTAAATGGCATTTACCCATCACACGGACGACTATTTAAAAATGGATAAGTTTATGTCGTATTTTCTTGCTTTTGCACCTTTAAAATAACAAGGTGCTTTCATTTTGCACTCTGAGTTAAAAGTTGTTTATTACTTTATTTGGTGATACCTAATTACAATTTTGAAAATACGAAAAAATAGAATCCTGCAGATGTTTCCAGGAATAAACTTTCGATGATGATGGTAATTCAATCTTTCCTTCAGGGTCTTCAAAAAAATGCTATATAAAAAACATATTAAGCTTTTTCTCCATGTAATTTTATTAAAATAAAAACAACTCTATCCTAATAAAAAAGAATCAATATGCCATTGTGGCATATTTGGGGGTGGCCCACCCTGAGCCTCAACAGCAGAGCAAATGTTACCAGGGTCCGCGGAGAGGGGGCCACGAGGAGCTGTCGTTCAGTGAGTGCAGAGTTGCTGTTGGGATGATAAAAAAGTTTGGCGTATAGATAAAGTCCTTGTTATACAACATTGTGAATGTGTTTGAGCCCCTGGATTGTAAACTGACAAATGGATAAAATGATAAATATTACGTTATACATATTTTCTCATAATAAAACATTGTTTTAATCCCCGGGCAAGTGACAGAAAATCCAGCCCAGACCTGCTTTAGCTGAAGGTCAATATATCGGCCCCTGTAAGCTGGACATCTGGTAGACATCTGTTTGGGAAGCCCCCAATCCCCACCCTAGCCGTCCCAGCCCTCCCCACCTCCCTCCACTCCCCTCAGCCTGTTTATTATTGTAATGAGCAGAGCTTCATGTGCTTCTAGTAACCGCAGTGATGAAGACGACCTCCCTCCAGACCTGGCCGAGGCAGCGGGAGCGACCACAACTCCAGCCATGGCCACCACCATGGCCACCACCACACAAGTCTCAGTGCCGCTGGCATCCCCCAAGGTCCACAAACTCAGCTCGCCTCAGAATTCAGAAGGCAAGGGCCAGCTGTCCCCAGGGGCCAAGGTACGGCGGAAAAGCCCTGAGGAGTAGCTATACTTGCCGACAACTCTGCATAAATTGTGTGTGGCATCTGTATGCATTTAAACTTTGCATCATCAAGTCTGTGCACTCGTAAAGCTACAGTAATAACCACCAAAGCATGTGTTTTATATAACCTGTCCCTGAAAGATAACCACGTATGAGAGACAAATGGTATAATATAAAAGCATGTACTTTGTATTGAAGGGAAATTTAAGAGATTTTTGAGGGCAATTTTAGTTTTAGAACATCATCCCTGCAAAAGCTGTTACTCTACTGTGAAGACAGAAAGCAAGAAATGGGTTTTTATCCCCCATAATGGAAAATTTGGAGGAGTAAAAACGTAGAGGTATCCCTATCCCATTCCTTTTATGGGATAGCCTGTGTTAACGGTTTGAAAGCGGGAAATGTTATTCTATTTGTCACTCTGAAATTTCAGGAAGTTGCCAATGATGTGAATGGGCTGTTACTAAGGCACAAGACATTTCTCTTGGTTTCCTTTGAGTGATGCTTAGCTGTGGTCACTCTTCAGCAATTGGTCCCAAGGCAGTCACGTGTCTTGCTCTCCAAGCAGATGCTGAGTCAAAGGTTGCTTGGTCTGTGGACCCCGCTGAGGAACACTGTGTGCATGAGGTGGGGCCTAATGCAAGACTGGAACCTTAGAGTCTTGGGGGCCAAGACTTGGGGCCCAACTGCTCCTTTCAAACACCTATGGCTGCTTGAAACAAGTAGTCACTCCGCAGCCCTTGTTTCTCCGAGCCTCAGTTTCCTCTTCCCAAAAAAGAGAATAAGATCTGCTACGATGCCCAGCTTATGGGTCCAGCAGAGATTAAAGTGCTTGTGCAAACAGGATGCCCGAGGCTTCTGTAGTCCAGGGATCATGATTCCTGGTAACATCTAAGTAACAATAGTCCAGGCCGCATCGTGTATGACTGAGGCCAGTCTTTCACAGGGTCCCTTCCCGGGGTTTCTGGGAATACCTCTGTGTCCAACAGGATCCGGCTGGATCCCTCAGCCAGTGACTGGCCCAGACTGAGGCTCCCTACTTGTCTGTAGATCACCTCCTGGGAACTGGAGTTGGGTTCCCCTCCACTGTGCTGAGTCCCTAGCACTGCTTTGTCCCAAGTGTGGACACAGGCTCCTCTGTATATCCCAGGCCATGGTTAAAACCACGCAAAAACATTTACAAAACAGAAGGGAATTCACTGGAGAGGCAGGCAACATCGTACCAGAAGCCACAAGGCTCCCTCTTCTGGCCATCTCTCTCCTTAGGGCCCTGCTTGCACCAAGTAAATGCGACTTATTTTTTTCCACAGAGGGTTTCAAGGCCCCCCATGCTGCTGAGATACCCCCAAGGCAAGGCGAAAAAAAAATTTTCCCAAAAAATGAACGTGATTTTCAGAGGTACCATCTGAAAATCACTCTCCTACCATAAAGCTCTTCCTTGTTATTGTGCAGATGAGTTCAGCTCCTTGAGGTCTTGATCCAGGGTGAGGTCTTTACTCTCTGTTTATATATTCAAAGCACTCTTTGAAGTGTTTTCCCCCCAAAGGCCAGTCAAAGAGCAGTCAAAGCATTTAAGAAAAATTGTTTGCAGCTTCAAAAAAGACAGTTCTCCACCCTATACCCTACTTCTACCCATTAAGATTTCAGAAAAACTCAGGGTTTGGTGTCAACATTTTGTACACTACTGAGTTAAGAGAACTCTGGTGGGGGTTGGCATGATAATGAGTTCAGTGTTAGAAAAGGGGAAGAGGAGAGAGGTCAGGACCGTCTGTATCTTCTGTTGAAATTCCACTGTCAGTCCAGAGCCGGCGCTAACTGGGATATTTTTGTCTGCCTTTGTAGAGCCCCTCTGACCGAGGAGGTGCCTTTACCTTGGAGCCAGGTGATCTGCTGATGGATTTCACAGAAGCCACTCCTCTGGTAAACTTCCCATTTTGCTAAAACCAGAAAAGCCACAGACCATAGAAACACCTTGGCAGTGGGACGGATGGACAGAGGTGGGCATCGCTGCTGGGAAGGCTCTTCCTCTTGTCCTGCGCACAGCCTGGAGGCTCAGGGATCAGCTTTCTTCCAGGGTTCAGGCATCACGGGTCCTTCCACCTCACAGAGCCCCCGAGGGAGGGCCGTGCTCCCTTTCCTCTGAGGGTGGCTGCAGGGGCCCCACCCGCCTGTCTGCTGCTCCTCCGTGCTTCAGTCTTGGCTTCTTGGCTTCCTGGGCTGCATGCCCGCCATGCATGCCCGCCCTGGGACATCTCTTGCTGTCTCTTGCAACAGCATGCTCCGGCCTAGAGTACCAGCTCAAGGCCTCACCTAGGTTTCTAGGCCCCTCGTGCCTCCCTACCATCCTCCATCCTCTGCATAGAGGTCTCTCCTTCAGGATGGGATGCCTGCAGGTGGGAAGCCCTTTCAGGGAAGGGAGCACTGAGCCAGGAGTCATGCAGGCCAGACCTGGCTCCACTCTCCGCGCTTCACCTTAAGAGCCTTGTCATTGGATAGTGGCTGCCCCATCTTCTGTCAAATGAGGATGTCGTTGTTTGCCCTGTCTGCCTAAGAGTATTGTAAGGATCACATGAGAGAGAGAGCCCCATATATAAAGCACCATAAATGTGTATAAGATATTATAAACGTGATTAGATGACACAGGCAAAATTGGATGTATCTTAGGCTGGGCTCAGCCTAATACCCAAGTATACTGGAGCATAAATCATGGTGCACGAATTTGGCATGTGAGTCAAAACGTGAGCCAAGTCAAAAACTGTCTCCTGAGAACTTACTCTGCGCCTGGCTGCGTAGGAGGCTCTGGGAATGGATAGGGCAGCTAGAGGCTGGAGGGGGCTCAGGTTGGTAAAGGGTCAGGATCAACAGGAGAGACGTGTGGAAGATGCTTGGGGAGAAGCCAGAAGTGGGAGTCATTCAGGACTGGCTCCCTGGACAAGGGTGTGGTGGATGGGAAGGATTTCTGGAAGGCTTTCAAGAGGGGACAAATGAGGCAAAATGCTGTCCAGGCTTTAGGAATGATCACTGCTCCTGCCTCAGCTAGCACAAGGAAATCATCTGTGATTTACGCAACTACACTTCTCTTCTGGAGAGCTGGTACAGTCTGAGAGCTTCGAGTCAGCGCCTTCAGATAAACTGCTTGAGAACTGACAGTGGACAACACCCAGCTCGGGGACCTGCAGAGTTACTTCCTTCCCATGCTCAAGTAAATGGAGCTGGGTATTCATGGCCTTTTTGTTAGACAGATTACCAAGATAGGGTAACCCGGAAACACCTCATCGCCCCTTTGCCCAGATTGGGAAACTGAGTCCCAGAGTGGGGTAATCACCCGGGGACCAAGCTGGAGCTGGAGCCCAGATGTTCTGACTCTTTCTCTGGTGCCCTTTGCATCTAATTGAACTAAATCTGGACTCCTCTTTAGGGAACTTACCATTTTGGAGAAGAGCAATGCCTGGAAGAAGGGCTGTGTTTCAAACACTCTAAGAGAGTCTGTATAAACTGCTACTGCTGTGGGACCCTGTGCCTAACCCTGTCTGGGGGCACTAGGAAAAAGAAGGCTTCATGTTGCTAGGGTTTTAAGGTATGAGTAGGAGTTTGCCAGATGGAGGAAGTGGACCAAAGCATTCTACGCAGAAGGTACAGCATGAGCAAAATAATGATTATTTATTATTATTTAAAAGGTCTGGTGGATCTGAGAACTAGGGTTAGTTTACAAAAAAATACATCATGGCTTTGACAGGAGTGATGTGATTCCCTTAAAAACCATTGTGTTGCAGATCCAGCTTGTGGATTTAATTGCCTCACCTTTTCTGTGTTTGGCATAACAGACTGAGATTAGAAAGGAAGCAGCATCTGGCAGGGACCCAGAGGTCCCCTGATCTCAGGTGCCAATGCCTACTAAGTTACTGTCCAGTCTCTGCTTGCACCCCTCCAACAGCAGGGAGCTTATTCCGTGTCCCCAGGACACTTTGCTTGTGTCTCTGGGCAGCTCTGACCGAGCTCTGAAACAGGGTCCAGGTGCTGCACTGCCCAGCCACGGGACAGCGGAGGTTTTTGTACAAGACACAGCTGCCCACTTCACAGCTGAAGTTTGCAGTGAATACCTTTTTTCAAGATGAAGCATCCTTCTTCTTATTTGTGCGGATTTGAGGCACAAGTGCATGTTCACAGAGCACGTGCACACAGAAGGTATGCTGGAGGGCTAGTATTTCGGGCTTTCCTTGGCATCATTGGCTTTGACCTTACTTCACCCCAGAGACCTATCTCCATGAGTGCCGAAGCGTCCTAGAGGGGAAGAGGGACTCCAGCAGCCTGCTTCTCCCTTTGTCTGGTCCTCTTACCTCCATCTCCTCCATTTGTTCTTCCCAGCATCAAAGAAATGCGAGCTGCAGCCCTTTCTGCCCTTGATGTTAGGGTGATGGGGAGCATGACATCTGTGTCTCTAAAGACAGCCAAGGAAGGCTAGACTTAGGGTCTGGGGCTGGAAGAAAGTCTTAAAGCTGTGTCCCTGCCCTGGTTCCTCAGGCCAGAGCTAGAAGGACAGGGAGCTGGAGAGAGAGGAGTGGGACAGATTTTCTTGCCTTCATTAAACCAAGACACTATTGGAGCTAGTTTAACCCTTAATGTCTCTTTACCCTTATGATCCAGTCTCTGCATGGAATGAAACACGGTCCAAACAGCCAAGAATGATAAAAAAGATTCAGTCTTTAACTGGCGTCTCTTAAGATAATGAAAGAAGGTTAAATGAACACCTCCTGGTAACAGTTCTTGAATCTCATTTTGCTTCTCTCTTAATTCTCTTGCACCTTGCACTTCCCCGAGGACTTACATCCCCAAACTCTCCACAAAAACATTCTTTCTAGCTTCACTCTTGTAGCATCCCCTGCTTTTTCCCAACTCTTTTCTTCTGTAATCCCCAACTCTTTTATTACGTAGCTCAATTTTGCAATCCAAGTCCTACAACCTCTGCAGCTCTGTTGTCTGCCCATTCCTGGAATCTGCATCGTAGACTCTTCAAGATCAGATAAGAGTTTCTGCCTGGGAGGGAAGCAGGTGTGAGGATGGGAAGGGAAGAAGGCAAGTGAGTGAAGACAGCACGCACTCTCCCTCTGGTGTTCTCATTTGGTGTGCAGGGGGGTGTGGGTGTCAGTAGAGTGTGGGGTGTTAGAAGGTGGGCACATGGACACATCAATCATGTTGACCTTGGGATGCAGAGTCCCACCCTCTACTCCAGGTCAGTCATGCCAGCTTCCTTCCCCAGGTAACACAGACCATGCACATCCATACCTTCTGTGTCTCTGATGCTCTCTCTTTGGGGCGTGTCCCTCCCTGATCCCTGTACTGCAAGAACCACTCACCCAGCTGCAGAGCATCATAATCCAGGTCTCGTCTGGGTCAGGGGACATTAGTCAGGAGTTCATGTGTCAGGGAGGAGATGGCCTGGCCAAAGGAAGGTTGTGTAGGGCCCAGAATGGGCCCTGGGTTGGGTGTCAGAAGAACTGAGTTTCCATTTGTCTCAATAACTTAGTTTTTATTTTGAACCTCATTCTAGCAGGAGAGCTGAAGCTTAAGCTCAAGTCAAATCAGGTGCCTCTTCAGTCTTCCTGGGGTTTCATCCGTGTTCTTCAGGGCACGGGGAGAGGGACGGAAGTCTCTTTAGTTCGTGAAGTCACCTATTTGCTGATACATCTGGGACACCCGCTGCTTCACTTATGCCCCTTTTGGGTGGGTGGAGATCGCGGTGCCGCTGGGATGTGAATCCCTGTCTGCTGGACACAACCACACAGCCATTCTGCTCTGCTCTCCCATCTCTACCTGAGTAGAGGGGTGCAGGTCCCCACTGCTCTTTAATCCCTGTCCCCCAGCCTCTGCCTATGAACGGGGGGCCCAGAGACCCTTTGTGCAGCACTCACTAATGTCTACCCGTTCTCCCTTTCCTTCTGACTTCCCTCGCTTATCCTCAAGCTGGCAATCTCTTTTCTTATCTGGATGAAGGCTTACACATTTTCACCATCTTTTGTCTATGCCAAAACCTTTCTGTTCCCCAGAGAGTCAGATTTTGGAACTCAAAAGCCATATAGAACCTAGGTGCCTAAATGTAGAAAAGACCCAAGGAGGGAAGGAAATACCAGGAGAAAACATAAATGGTATTTCAAAATAGTATCCTATTGCATGTGAAATCCTGTTCATTTACTACAAGTCAGAAGTGTGGGAGCCCCAGGGATGTTCTTTTGTTTAAATCCGCTCAGATGCATTTAGAAATCTGAGTTTCAAATCTGAGATCTAAATCTCCATTTAGAAAGGTCAGAGATGCTTGTGGGATGGACCAATATTTCTTTACCATAAAAGTCCAATGCTGGGCAAAGCTTTAAGTCATCCATTATAATCTTCAGCACAGACACTGGTGGCCAGTACACATTTTGGCCTCAAGGCAGAATGTCCTTGTTTCTTGGTGAGTTATGCCTTAGTAGCATCTTATAGAGCATAACGTTTATCCTGAGGACCAGAGCGGGAGGGGGAGTTTAAGTAGGGTGGGAAAACTTAACTGCACATTAGGGGACTAATGTGGACTCCCTTGTTTCTGAAGAATGGATTTAGAAACAGTCAACAAGAGGGTCTAGACCCATGGATTTAGACTTTGCAAATGCAACTTCTGCATCTCCCACGTCCGAATAGTAAAACAAGGCTATCGTGGAGACCATCGTAAATAATGGTTGTAAAAGCCCCTTGGAGATCATCTGGGACAGCACGATAGTAAAAAGGATGGAGTTAGGTCAATTTGGAGATGGAGAAGAAGGCAACAACTTTCCTGATAATTTTTCAGTGAAACTTTCCCAGAGGCTCTACTGGATTCATTATGGCAGGATCATACCAACTACTTCAGAAAACGCTCATGAGCTAAAAGATGCATGTATTTGTTCCCTGGAGTAATGGTTCTTTCCTGAGACCCAAACTGACCCTGTCAGTGGCTCCCTCCCCTGACATCAGAGCATTCTTCCCTCACCATTCTCATCCTCACCAGTACAAGCTGTTGGATCTCTGCTGGGTGCATGGCACTGTGTAGGGCTGGGGCCAGGGAACGCGGTATCCCAAATGACATGGCATTTTCTCACAATGCTTGGTATCTCCTAGCTAAGCGGCAAGTCCCCTCACCCCCCAGTGCCAATATGAGATGCCAAGGCCTGGGTCCATAGATGTGGGAGGAGGGTCACGGCCAATATATTTTCTGAACACAGATAAAGAGCCATGGCAGATTCAATGGTAAACTCTGTGTTCCTCCTCACTGATGTACCTCTTTCTTGTAGCTCTCTGTTGGGCATCTACTCACTTAGCCACTTATAATGTGGGCCCTTACTTAGCAGAGTTCAGGAGGCCATGGGGCATGGAAGGCAAAGACTCTCCAGTATGTGGCCATTGCTCATTTTGCCCCCATGGCTGGCTTCACGGATTCATCTGAGCTCTTTCTGGCTTGGCCTGGGCGACGCTTCAGAATCCTCAACAGCACCCCGGTCCTGTGCACTTGGCACAGGACAGGGCCCCTACCTGCCAGCCCCAGCAATGGGTTTTGATCTGCCGTTCTGCTCAGATAGTGGAGAAGACAGAGGAGGGCCAGAGAGGAGGAGAGAAGGTGGAGAGAGGAGGGAAGAGGGAGGGACCAGAAGCCAAGTGGCCAGAGGCTGGAAGGAGGCTGCGGGTGAGGCTGGCTTGAGAGCTGTCTGGAGTCCACAGATCCATCTTGCACTGTGCTGTCTTTCTCTCCTTCCCCTCCCTTCTCTCCTCTCCTCGTGAGCAGGCAGAGCCCGCCAGCGCCCCCCACTGTGCCCACTCTCGCTGTTCTCCTCCACTCTCTCTCCCCATGAAGGAAGAGACCACTGGAGTTTGCATGCATCCTCCAATCAAAACGAGGCTGGTAGGTACCCTGGCAGGGAGAGGGGCCCGGCCAGGAGAGGTGAGGCGGGCAGGAGCCGCCAGGAGGCAGCCCGTGGGTGTGCACGAGCACCAGACCTCCGGAGGAGCCTGGGGCTGCAGGGGCTCTCACTCCAGGATGATTGCAGAGTTTGAAGTCCAGCCGTCCCTGGTCAAACTGGGACCCACGGCTGTGATCCCGCCCCTTCGTCTCTAGGTCTCAAGAACCGTGAAGAGTTTGTTCTCCTAGAGCCGTGCTGAGGATAGATGCTTTCCGCAGAGAGAAAAATTCTTAGTTGCATTTCTATTAAAACAAAAGCTTTTAACTTGTGTTTTCCTGCTATTTATCAAGATGACAATATGAGAATTATATAATGACTTGAAGGGAATCACCCATAATCCCAACCTAGCACAACTTTTTTTCAGTTTTGCATGTTTCCTTCTAATGTTTATTTGTATTCATTCATAATTTTACATCGTTAAATCAGAGTATCCGTATCATCTCCTGTTTTCCTCTTTTTGCTTAATGTTGTATTGTTTCTAGCGTGTTCTTGGTACCCCATACTGTATATTCCATCAAGTGAATGGTCCGCCATCTACCTAACGAACTCTTTACTGCAGGACGCGTGCTTTGTTTCCAGTTTGTCACTATTCGAGGGAACACATATAGCTTGTGTGTCAGGTATTGTATTTTCTCAGGCCAGACCCTGCTGGGTTCAATATTGCAACTTTGGCTTTGCTAAAGTCATTCTAAAGTGGTGTGATACCAATGACCATCAGCGCCATCATCAGAAGAGTGAATGTGCTTTGCCAGAGCCCGGCAACCCAGAGTGTAACTGTTGGAATGTCTTTTTCTTCTTTAGAGCAGGTATAAAATAATTCTTTGAAGTTGCCCACTTTCACATTTCTTTAATAGCGATAATAATCCTCTTTTCCCCTTTTATTTCATGATGGTCTGAGTCTTATCTGTATGTTACTTTCACTTTGCTTTTGGTCTCAGAACACCACGTTAGGCCCTGTGAGGAGAAAGGCTGCCCCCAGTCCTTCTCTTGCTATGCTGCAGGCAGTCACTACCAGCAACCCGAGTTGGCACCTGAGTCCCTGGGAATTTTGAGATATTTAAAGAGACTAAGGAGAGTTTGAGGAAGGGGAGCAGGCTTGGGCTGGACATCTCAGTGCCCACTGCAAGGACATTGTCATTTCTAGATCCGTTGAGTTGAGACCTACTCAACTCATTCAGAACCCTCAGAAGGTTTGGGTCTGGTCTGATGTGTTCCTGACCCTCCCTACCTTACCCTCCATTAGAATGACTCAAGGCCATCAGGTAGCTACTCTAGGGCCCATAGGCGAGACTCTGAGAGACACTAAGGCGGTGGCGCATAGGGAGTGGTGGCCTCCATGTCTTAGCTGCAGCCCTCTGGTGGCGGGTGGCGCAATGTGCATTCACCAGCAGGCGGTTTCTGTGCCCCTGTGGGTTGCAGACAAAGCTGGTGCCACAGTCATCAGGACCCTGGGCCTGCTGGCAGTCCTCTAGGCCAGCTTAAAGAAATACACACACCCCCGCCCCCCATCCTCCAAGGCCTCCAGGAGGCCAAAGATGAAATGACCCAAGAGAAAGAAATGGAAGCAAAGGCTCTTTTTGGCCACTTAGCCCTACCTGATCATGCCGGGGCGTCCACCCTCTTTCAGACCCCAGGACAGGGCACTTCTGATCACCATGCCTTCTGTTCCCAAGGCCACGGTGGTGGGATTCTCCCATGCTTACATGGGTTTCCCTGAGGTTTCCCTCTATGTCCCGGAGTTTACAGGGAGCCCAGCAACTAAAGTGAACGGACAGGGAATTCTCCTGGCCTGATTAATCCAGGCCTCCTGGTACTCTGTCCACTCTGATATACTGTGTTCCCAGATGTGCCCTCTCAGCGGCCTCTAGTCCATTCTCCAGAGCTGCAGGGGAGCCGTCAGCAGGCCCCCAGGGAGCCCTCACCTGCCTCATTATATGCCCTGGTCGTGGTCAGGGCGAGGAAGACTCCAGCCTGTCTTCCTTGCAGCGGCCTGGCCCTATAGCACAACAGTGGGCACAGTTACGAGCGCTGGGCAACACTCCTAGCGACCCTTGGTGTATTTCTTCAACAAGTAATGAAGGCTCGGTGTGTGTCCCCCTGAAACCTTCAGTTCCGTTTAAAAATGCACTGCCAAAGATTTCAAAACTTTGTTTTCTAATCTGAAAGTAACACTCTTCTCTGTCTCTTTTTTGAAGATAAAAACATTCCCGGCTGATACAGTGACCCCTTTTCCTGATCCTTTCATAACAGGGCCACAGTTTACCGTAAGTAGATCCGGAAAACAGATCTGTGTTTCGAGATATTGTTCCCAGGTGGCGTGCTTTCCTGTGATTCACCAGCCAGCAGTGCCAACAGCTTCTTTTTTTTTTTTTTTTTTTTGTGGTACGCGGGCCTCTCACTGTTGTGGCCTCTCCCGTTGTGGAGCACAGGCACCGGATGCGCAGGCCCCGGATGCGCAGGCCCAGCAGCCATGGCTCACGGGCCCAGCCGCTCCGTGGCATGTGGGATCTTCCTGGACCAGGGCACGAACCCGCGTCCCCTGCATCGGTAGGCGGACTCTCAACCACTGCGCCATCAGGGAAGCCCCCAATAGCTTCTTTTGATCACTGTGAACTCTGTGAGGCTGGGAAGGAGCTGGGGCTTGGGGGTCTGCATCTTCTAGTTTTGTTTTATTGAGGTGAGCTTCATGTAACATAAAATTAACCATTTTAAAGTGACAATTCAGTGACATTTAGTACATTCAGGGTCATGCAGCTACTACCTCTATCTAATTCTAAAACCTTTTCATCACCCCCAAAGGAAACCTCATACCCATCAAACAGTCACTTCCCATTTTCCCCTTCCCTCCGGCCCCTGTCAACCACCCTTCTGTCTTTTTGGATTTGCCCAGTTTGGATATTCCATAAAAATGGAATCATACACTGTGTGACCTATTGTGTCTGGCTTCTGTCACTTAGCATAATGTTTGTAAGGCTCATGCACACTGTAAGGTATATCAGTACTTCATTTCTTCTCATGGAGGCATAATATTCCATTGTACTTTTATACCGTAACTTGTTGATCCATTCATTCATCGATGGGCGTTGATGGGTTGTCTCCACCTTTTGGCTAATGTGAATAATGCTGCTGTGAACATGCAGGTACCTATATTTGTCTGAGTCCCTGTTTTTAATTCTTTTGGGTTGGATCTGCATCTTGATAATGGGAAGATTTTAGGTTAAGTTATTTTACCACTCGGAGCACCAGTCTCGTCTTATTTAAAGTGGAAATAGTAATAAGAACATCCTCCTCCTTATATCTGGTTGAGGCAAGGATCAAAAGGGATCAAGAACTTGAAAGTACTCTACCGACCACAGACCACCCCCACAAATGTCAAGTACGATGTTTCTCAATGCTGGAGAGGCAGGTGGTGTACTTAACAAGAGCAGGTAGTCATGACGACGGGCTTTCCGGTTACCATGGCTCTCTGTGTCGCCAAGCAGCTTATTTAAACTCTTTGCAAACTGTTGAAATGTGTTTAAACATTTAAATGTAGTTTCCTCATCTGCAAAATGAAAGAGTTCGATGATTTTCAGGATTCTTTTCAGCTGCTCAGCTTTTTTTCCTTATCTAAAAGCTTCTGCAGAAGCTCACCATCTACTGAGCAGAAGTGGGGAGGCTCAAATGGGGGTGGGCAGAAGAGGCTCCCTCCTCTTTCCCCTCGCCCTCTCCTCCTCCCAGGGATCAGAGTATGCGATTCCTAGAACCAAGAACCAAGTGGTCCCTGAGGCTCCTTCCAAAGGCCAATCTAGAGGACCTGTGAGGTGGCCTAGGGGTAGCTTGAAATGCAGTCTCGGGTAGGTGATGGTCGCTACCTGAGGTGGCCGGCCGCATGAACAGGGAGGGTGTGAGCAGCGGCTGATTCATGTTTCGGAGGATGAACAGAACTGGGAAGGTGTTCAGCAGTCCATGCAGAGACAAAAGCATGTTTCTAGAACAATCCATGCTAGGGTCATGATCTGCTTCCAGAACCTGCCTTTTAAGAGCCAGAGAGCAGAGACACAGGGGCTGGGCCGGGCTGTTCAATGCTGCTGCCGCAACATTCATCTGGCCCCTGCAGTTGGGCTAGGCACAGCTCCCCAGCTGGAAGCTCCGGCTCTACTTCCTCTGCTGGCCGTGGCGGGCACTCTGGCCTGCTCCCCAGCCTTGGCAATGCTGCGAGACACCCAGGGAAGCCCTTCCTGAAAAGCTGGGGGCCAAGATGGAGCAGGAAGCCAATGTCAGAAACCATGCTGGGACTTTTAAGAACTGGGCAAGAGGGCTTTGAGGCAGCTGGAGCAGGCAGGGGGAGCAGCATGAACCAGAGTCCTGGGGCAGAGGAGTCATCCCACATTCAGGGGAATGAAATGAAGGCCAGTGGGCCTAGAAGGCAGAGAGCAAGGGTGTGAGGCATGAGAGGAGGAAGGGGAGGAAAGCAGGGACAAACCCTATAGGGCAAAACCATGCTTGGCTTTGTAGGCCAAAGGAGGGGCCCTGATCTGGATCCTACGAGCAATGGGAAGCCTTTGAAGGACTTTGAGCAGGGTAGTAACAGGGCAGCTGCATTTGGAAATGGGCCCTGTGATGGCAGTGGGAGCAGAGCTGGGTTCAGGCAGCGTGGACTCAGGGAAGTAGCCTAGAAATCTAGGACAATAGTTCAAGGGAGAGAAGGCAGAGAGTGTGATCCAGAGAGGTGTTGATGGTGGAGGTGGAGAGGTGTGCACAGATCAGGGAGATATTTAAGAGGCTGGTAAGGGGGACTTCCCTGGCATTTCAGTGGTTAAGACTTCACCTTGCAGTGCAAGGGGGTGTTGGTTCAATCCCCAGTCGGGGAGCTAAGATCCCACATGGCTGGTGGCCAAAAACCCAAAACATAAAACAGAAGCAATATTGTAACAAATTCAATAAAGACTTTAAAAATGGTCCACATCAAAAAACAAATCTTAAAAAAAAAAATTCTTAAAAAAAAAAAAAAGAGCCTGGTAAGGAATTGGATTGGATGAGGGAGAGGGAGGGCCAAAAAGGGCTCCCAGATTTCTGACTTGCAGAATGTGGATGGAGAGTGGGTCCATTCACTAAGATAAGGAAATCTTAGGGAAGAGTGGATTGGGAGGGATAATGCGTTTGCCTTTGGCCATGATGTGTTAGAAATGCCTTGGAAACATCTGAATGGAAACAGTGAATGGGCAGCTGGATATCCAAGTCTGTATCAGGAGACAGGACTAGACTGGAGATTATAATTAGGGAGTTACTAACAGCTGGATGGTAACAGAAGCCAAATTCATGAGCTTCAGCTTCCTAATTTTCTTACCCCCCTGTGTCATATTATCTTTTCCTCCCTCCAAGGTCAAGACACTTGACCTTGCTACAGGGTTGCCCTCTCCACAGGCCTCCACACCTATCCTGACCACAGTCATGGGGGAGCTCAGCAGCTCCAGGGAACTCCACACAAAGTTTTTCTGGCCGTTGATCCAGCATTGACCTTGGGTCTGGTTTCAACAACCAGGCTCCTTGCTTAATCCTGAGACCAGTTTCTGTCTTGTATTTGAGCCTGTTAACTCTACGTGATACTCAGCCCAGGTCCTTGGTCTGTCTAAGATGAGGGCCCCTGCCTGGCTCTGGTCAGATTTCTGTCCCATGTTCTTCTGCCTAACCTGGTCTGTCCCTGTGTTACCTGCTTTGTTCCAGCAGAAGTCTGTTCATTCATTTCTTCATTCAACAAATAGGAAGGCAAGTTCTCAGGGTTGAGATTTAATAATAGTAATTTTCACTGCTCCCTAAGGTCATTCTTTTTTATTTATTTATTTATTTATTTATTTTTGGCTGCGTTGGTCTTCATTGCCGCGAGTCGACTTTCTCTAGCTGCGGCGAGCGGGGGCTACTCTTCCTTGCGGTGCGCGGGCTTCTCATTGCAGTGGCTTCTCTTGTTGTGGAGCACAGGCTCTAGGTGCACAGGCTTCAGTAGTTGCCGCACGCGGGCTAGGTAGTTGTGGCTCGCGGGCTCTAGAGCGTAGGCTCAGTAGTTGTGGTACACAGGCTCAGTAGTTGTGGCTCATGGGCTCTAGAGCGCGGACTCAGTAGTTGTGGCACACGGGCTTAGTTGCTCCGCAGCATGTGGGATCTTCCCGGACCAGGGCTCGAACCCGTGTCTCCTGCATTGGCAGGTGGATTCTTAACCACTGCGCCACCAGGGAAGTCCCCCTAAGGTCATTCTTAAGTGAAGCTGGCTCTTTCTTTTTCTACTTTGAGTGCATGGCAGTAAAGAATATAATGACTATTAATAAAGTCTGGTGCCACTGCCCTGATTCATGCTAAGGCCCTGGTACTTTTACCCACTCTTGCCTTTGTATGTAAGTGTAAATTTCCCTCTTTTTTCCAGAAAGGATCAAAATTGGCATCAAAAGCCCAACCTCCACCCGCTTCACTGAAACAACAAAATAACTTCTTACTCCAGCTCCTGTATCAGGAAGGCTGGGCTAAGTCATGCTTTAAAATGACAAATTGAATTTCCTACTCCCGCTGCATGTCTGTCAGGGGTGGGTTATGCACTGTGCTCTGTGTTGCTCTGTTTCTGGGACCCAGGCTAATGGAGCAGCTGCCGTCTGAAACAGTGCTAGTCACAGTGGCAGAGGTGAAAAAAAAAGAGGTGACAAATCACACACTAGCATGGAAGTAAAACATGGCAGCACATTTCTTTGGCCAAAACAAGGCACGTGGTCATGCCTAACTTCAAAGTGGGGTGGGGAAGTGTAATCCTACCATGGAAATCAATGAGCCAGGATTATCTGGTAAACCACACAAGTGACCACTACAGCCCAAAGTTTGTGAAAGCTCCCTGTGGCAAACATCACATGCTAGCCACTCTACGATGCTCCTGTTCTCGTGGTCAATTCTTTGGCATTGCTCCAGCCCAGGCCAGGTCAGTTCTCTCTCTAGAGGCACTTGTAAAACAAACAAGGGCTTGTATTTCTCAGTAGTAGTCTTTCAGGACCTCTCAAAGATAAGATTCTCCCCATTGCTCAAGCCAGATATACCCTTACAGAACTACAACTACACCTGGTATTTTTGTGGTTTTCCATGTTTCCCTAGGAGGGACAGCTCATCATCTGTCTAATCACTAGAAATATATTGCTCATTTGAGGATCAAAACCTCTTCTTTAGAAAGCCACGTGAAAAATTTCTCCAAGTTTAGGGCCAGGAACTAGCATGAAAACTCAAGTTATAAAATATATAGCTGGTACTACTGAAAGGTTATAAAACAAACAAAAAAGTATGCATAGAAAAAACGCTATGAGGAAATACACTGACAGTGATAGTAAGGGATTATGGAATTACTTCATTTCTTTACCTTTATATATCTTCTGAGTTTCCTATGTAAAGTAATAAGCATATCTTGCTCTGTAATGAAAACAACAATAAATTATCCTCTCCAAATGAGGCAGTGTACTCTAGACCAGTAGTTCTCAAACTCTACCATATATCAGAATCATCTGAAGGTCTCGTAAAAACACAGATTGCTGGACTTTGTCCCCAAACATTCTGGTTCCAAAGGTCTTAGTTGGGGCCTGAGACTTTGCATTTTCACCAAGTTTCAAGATGGTACTGATGCTGCTAGTCTGGGGCCCATACTTTGGGAACCACTGTTATAATGGTAAAAAACACCAATTTTGAAGTCAGCCAACCCTGGTTCTAAATACTGGTTCTTAATACTTACTAACTGTGTGACCTTGGGAAGATTACTTAACCTCTTTGAGCCTCACTTTCCTTTTCCATAAAATCAGTTCCAAGATGTGCGTTTTTCCACCTTCTAACATCTCTGAAATCAGAATGTTTATTACAATAGTGTACATGACAGAGTTCGAATGGTTACTTTTTCTTTCTCTGTGGCACGGGCAAAAATGGTGCATCTTACAAATGATGGTGTCTAACATGTGATGAAACATGACCTCTACCTTTAAGATTGTCCAGAGGTAATGAATGTCAAGTGCTTAGCATGGCGGCTAGCACTAAGCAATATCATTTAATAAATGGTAGTTGATTGACTATTATTAAAAAATAACAGGGACTGGGCTTCCCTGGTGGCGCAGTGGTTAAGAATACGCCTGCCAATGCAGGGGACACGAGTTCGAGCCCCGGTCCGGGAAGATCCCACATGCCGCGGAGCAACTAAGCCCGTGTGCCACAACTACTGAGCCCGCGTGCCACAACTACTGAAGCCCATGTGCATGGAACCCATGCTCCACAACAAGAGAAGCCACTGCAATGAGAAGCCCACGCACCGCAACGAAGAGTAGCCCCCCCGCTCGCCGCAACTAGAGAAAGCTCGTGTGCAGCAATGAGGACCCAACGCAGCCATAAATAAATAAATAAACTTTCTTAAATAAGTAAAATAACAGGGACTGTGTGGTAAGTCTTAGGGAGCAGCTGACAGTGTGAAAATGGAACCCAAACTGAGATTGATTTCCTCTTTTCTGTTTCCTCTCCAGGCAGACTTTAGAGACAGTAAATTACAGTGCTGTCCTGGCCAGTCTTCCCCACTGATTCCAGCAGCAACCCTGAGGCCTTTGACAGAGACCGTCTCCACAGTGCAGACCATCTACACCATTCGGAAGCCTGTTTCTCCAGTGGCCAGGTGAGTCAGATCAGCAGGTACCAAGAGATAACTCTGATGACAGGAAACCAGGCACAGGCTCTAGGTGCACTGTGTTTGTGACATCTACCACTCTCTTATTCATTCTTTTATTCATTTATTCTCTGAATATTCTCTGAATATTGGTGTTTATTGAAATGTCGTCAAAGGCTAGGCACTATTCTAGGTGCTAGGACTGTAGAGTGAACAAAACAGATGAAAGTGCTACCTTTCTGGAGTTTACAATTTAGTGTTGGGGGAGGGGAGAGAGACAGTGAATGAGTGTGTGTATGTGTGTGTGAGATAGTGACAAGTGCTAGGGAGAAACATAAATCCATGAGCATGCTGGGATGGTCTCACCCAGGTGGCATTTAAGCAGAGAGCTGAAGGTGGTGAGGGGAGCAAGCTGCAGGTATTTGAGAAAGGAGTATGGTAGTCAGAGGGAACAGCTGGTGCTAAGGCTTCTGAGGTGGAGTGAGCCTGGCATGGTTAAGAAAGAGTTAAGGGGGCTGGTGCAGCCACAGAGGTAGTGAACGACAGGACAGGAAACCCATGAAACTGGGGCCAGATTGTGTAAAGCCTTCTTGGCCATAGTAGAAACATTGCTTTCTACTCTGAATGAAATTATTTAAAAAATTGATTGTGCCTTTCAAGACGTGTACTTCCCGTGGGGTGTGTGTGTGTGTGTGTGTGTGTGTGTGTGTGTGTGTGTGCACCTAAACAGTGGAGATAAATTCCATAGATAGGCAACTGGGCTCGAGGACCAAGAACTCAGCAGCAACCTCTTAAAGCAGCCAATTTTACTTCAATTTTATGTATTCAATTCAATTTTATTTATTAAAACATTGGAGGTAATTCTGGGAGAAAGTGCATATGAAACCAATTGAGAACATGATTTAAAGAAATCTAACCCCTGGACATTTTCCCGTTCATTTAAATGACCTTTACTGAGAGGCTGCTATGTGCCAGATCCCGTGCTAGGCTCCAGGGCTTCAGAGAGGAATGGCATATACAACAGTCAGTCCCCTGAGGAGCGGTGCTTTCAGAAGCTCTCCGTCTGGTGGGGGAAACCTATAGGAAGCCTCTTTCAGGTCACTGTAATGCTAGCAAGTGTAGGGGGTCCTTAAGGAGCCTGAACAAGAAAGTCAAGAACTCAGATTGGGAAAGAATCTGGGAGACGACATTTAAACTGAGACTGCTCTTACCGTTTTTGAGCGTGTATCTCACCATTTTGTCACCTTATTGTTTTTCAGTGCAGAGACGCTCCGGCAGGAACTGGAGAGAGAGAAAATGATGAAAAGACTGTTGATGACCGAACTGTGAAATTCTCCCCTTGGTGCCTGGAGGATGGCATGGTGCCTTCTGTCCGTTTTCTTTCTTCGGGCTTTGTGTGATCACTCTAGCACGACATACAAATGTGTGCTCTGTTGGCCCAGGTCTCTGTGGTTAGTCAAAGCCAACTTCTGGCTTGACTTCTATCGGAAAAGATATTTTATGTCTCCTGAGTATTAGGGTTTTTCTGCTACTCAGTGTAGTTGAGACAGGATTTGGTAAGCCTAGAAGAAAGATGGGAAAACCAGGATTCCTTTTCAGAAGTACCTGTGTGTATATATTAATAACCACAGGGGTTAATATGGCACGGAATCCTTTGCTGTCAATCTCAACCATGTGATTTTGTATGATTGACACTTGCACCAAGCTTTGACTGTTTGTTAGAGTCATTTTTAATGAGAGAATAATTCTTTACTGCTGGTTTTTCATTTACACTGGTAAATACACAGATCTTATAAAGTCTTTAACATTCATTTTTATTCAGACACAAGTAGGTGAACTAAAAAAGGAAAGTTGCAGTCACCAGAGCTGAAGGTGCTTCAGCTTAATCTGAAATACAATTTAACTTGTGAACTTACGGTATATGATATTATTGGGGATATATAAAATTTATTATTGAACCCAAAGTAAGACATTATAGTTTAACTTGTCTAAAAATCCTTACAAAGTGACTTGATATCAGGATTCATTTGGGTGTTCCATAAAGGAAAATTATTTCTAAAGTTGATCAACTCATGTCCTGTTGATAGAAACTTGACCAGAAGAAACTTTGCTCTCTTTTTATATAGTTTCAAGAAATGTATTTTTAAATTTTTATTATGCACTTGAACAACTTTGCAGGAATAATTAAGAACCCCCTAACCACAGACTAGCCCTCTGAAATGTTTCCCATGCTTTCTCAATGAATATGCCCACATTTTTACATCAGTATGGTCAGTGTGTACATGGTCTTTGAGTACTTCCATCTAACACACAGCTCCTCTTTTCAACACTGATCCTGCTCTCACCAATTTTGATTTCTTTGTATCCATGTAACATGATTAATCTCACTTCTTGCCATACTAGATATTTGAGTTATATCTAACTTTTCACTCTTATAAATAGTGCTGCTATGAATGTCTTTGTAAAAAATGTTCCTTCTTTTGGATTCTCCCCTTGGGAATATCTCCAAAGAGAGATTACAAGGTCAAAGAGCATGAGGTATTTTATAGCTCTTGTTTCATATTGCCAGATTGCTTTCTAGAAAGATCCAGTCTCTGGGTTGAAAAGACCTTAAAGGTCATCAAGTTCAACCCCCCATCCTCTCTGAATGCTTGAATCCCCTCTACAATTTATGATGCCACCAGCAATGTATAAGCATTTCTATTTACCAATAGTTCTGCCAGTATTGGGTTGTGCCATTTTTATTTATTTTTCCTAGTTTAATAAGTGCGTATAGTTGTTTCTTGAAAGGTGGTTTTATTTCATTAATTGCTAGCAAGGCTGAGCACTTTTCCATGTGGTGACTTACTAGCTGTATTTCCTTGTGTGTAAAATGTCCATCCATTTCTTATGACCACTTAAGTGGAATTGATCTCGTATATTTGTATCAGAACTGTATTTTTATGTTATATAATTTGCTCTCCTGTCCCTATCCTTAAACCTGAATGGTGCCAATAATTTGATACTAATGATTATAAAAAAAAAAAGTAATGCCTCATTGACTAGCATCGTTGTAAAATGAGGTAATGTACGCAAATATTCAGATAACAGAGGATTAACCCTTTAAGTGCTCAATCTATACAATTTTAATATTTTTTTGAGGGAAATCTTTCTAAAATATATTACACACTTCCCTGCCTTAGTAAACAGAGTATACTGGAGAGTATTTAACCTTTTCTTGATGAGTCATGGTCATCATTATAAACATCAGCCCCTTTTGTACCTTGGTGTGGTGCAGTGATGTCATCAAGCGCTATCCAGATGTGCAGGGCTTGGCTTGCCTTTCACAGACTAACGCTTTTCTCATTGATGGTTTGCACTGCTGTCTGCTCTATTGGTGAAGCTGTCTGGGGGCAATTGTGGTATTTGGGAACTTTTACCCCCCACCCCAATACTACATGACCCCGGCCGTACTCTTAAAACAGCTTTAGCCGTTCTTTATGTTGTGTACACGATACAAAATGTGTTCCTGTACAGTACGGGGGAAATATCTGTTTCTGGGGTTGTCACCTCTTGCCAATCCCTCCTCTTCTAACCTGCTTTCTCAGTCTTCTGCTCTTCACTTCCGGCTCTCTGATGGAAACCTCCAGGGCAAAACTGAAGTTTTCTTGAGGAAGCCGGGAAACTCAGTGTTACATATGTGTCAGGTTGGCTTTGCTTCCGAAGAGGGATGCATGGGCTTTTTGGCCATTGTTCTCAGGAGGCTCTGAGCCTGCTGCTGCTTCCCCATGTCCCCCTGGGTTCACAGATGTTTCAGAAGGTTGATGTCACTGGAAGTCTGATCACAAACAAGTTGGCTGTTACTGTATATGAAAACCCAGTACCTTTGGCAGCTCAACCCTAACCAGTAAAATCAAGAGGATTCCATTGTTTCAGCAGTTGTCCTGGTTATTTGCCTATGTACATGTATGTTGGGTGCTTGGCATTGTGACCTGAGAAGATGACATTGTGTTGGGTGGATTCATAGGGATAAAAGTGAATTGGTACAATCACGTCGCCTTTTTTTTATATACTTAAAACCAAAACAACAGTACCATACGGTCACACAACACATCTTATGTCCGGGGAGAAACATCAGCTTGCTGACATAATCATTCCGGAGCAAGTGTTCCAGACTGTGAGCCACAGACTCCTGGTGGGTGTGGGGTGAGGGTTAATGCAAGTGGCCTGGGAATCCTGCAACCCCAGGTTTGTGGATTGTAGATTGCGTAGGAGGTCCTTATGTGTAAAGAATTTAAAAATGAGGTCCTAGAGCATTCAGAAGATCCCACCTGAATGTGCCCCAAGAATACACTCCCAGAATAGCACAAGAATATTCTGTTACCATCTTTATCTTTCTTTCATCATCTCAAAGATCACAGCTTTTAAAAAACTTGAAATTCACCCTGTTAACCATTTTAATGTATATAATTCAGTATTTTTTAGCATATTCATAATGTCATACAAATATCACAACTATCTAATTACAGAACATTTCCATGATTCCAGAAAGAAACTCCATATCTGTAGTCACTACCAATTCTCCCCTCCCCCTATCTTTTAGCAACCACTAATTTACTTTCTGTCTTTGGATTTCTGTCTATGGATTTGCCAATTCTGGACATTTCATATAAATGGAATAACACAATATGTGGTCTTTTGTGACTGGCTTCTTTCACTTAACGCAATGTTTGCAAGTTTCATCCATGTTGTAGCATGTATTAGTACTTCATTCCTTTTTAATGGCTATATAATATTCCATTGTAAGGATATGCCACATTTTGTTTATCCATTCATCAATTAATAGACATTTGGCTTGCTTCCACTTTTTGACTCTTATGAATAATATGAACATTTGTGAACCTATGTTTTCAGTTCTCTTGGGTATATAACTGAGATGGGAATAGCTGCATCATACAGCAACTCTATGTTGAACTTTTTGAGGAACTGCCAAGATCACAACTTTTATTTCATAAACAATCAAAAGTGAAAAAAATCACATATATTACTAGACAGACAGAAGCATGGGCAAATCTGTTGTTAAACTGGTCAGATACCGAGATGCAGCACTGATTTGTGGGGGGTGAAGTTTATAACAGAAAAAAAATTGTTTTAGAGAAATGGCTTTGAGAAGATAAAATAAAGGTGCTATCTTTTTTAAAAAATGCAAATGAAATTAAACTCAGGTTCATCTCTAAGTTCTTGTTTGAATTCCCAACTCTTGTTCAGGCAGCGGTCTCAGCATGTTCAGGAAACGTTCTTCCTTGAAAAATATGTACAAAAGAGAAAACCACAGTATTGTGGGTTCACGTCAGTGGGGAGCAGAGGCTTTATGCAAACCCTGGGATGTAACAAAGTAGGGAATATGTGCTGAGGGTGAGAACAGGTCTCCCTCCAGGGCTGAAATCTTGTAAGAAAACAAAAAGAATAAGAAAATCCCAAAAGCAATTTAAGTGGATGAGAGAGAACCTCGTGAAAGGAAGCAGCCAAGCCTGTAAGGAATTGGAAACCAGAGTAGGTTCTAAGGCCCTGGGGTGGCGTGCAGACTTTTAAGTGACCCATGAAGATTATGGGTATTCTCCTTAGAAAAAGCTATACGTCACACATCATTCCAGCACTTTCATTGGATCCTCACACCACCCCTGAAACCCATCTATGTCCGCCTTTGAGTCCATGGACCCCAGGTCCTTGATCATGGGTAGCTCACTGAAATCTGCAGTTTACCTACAAGCTTCATTTTAAGCTGTGGGTGCAAACCATCCTCCAACACCAGCACCCAACATCCCCTGCCCCCCCCCAAAATAGCCCACCTGGTTTTACCAGACCAGTTTACCAGAAGAATGACCTGGTTTTAATCTGCCTTATATCTGGCACCATCACTGTTAATTGTATTAATTAAAATGAAGGGAATACAAAATAAAGTAATAGATAACAGCTTGGATTCCCAAACCAGTGAATCAACACCAGAATCAGAAGTCCAAAGCTTGTTTTTTTTGGCTAAACATTGGTCCATTTAAAATTGGCCATATCTTTCCTGATAAACAGGAAGATGAAAAGAAAGACATTTCAATTTTTGACAATAAGATTTTATTTTTGGATTTTTTTGTTCTTTTAGGGATACTCTAACAGATTTTCAATTGATTGGATTTCTTGTATTTTAGAATTTTATCCTCTGAAAGCTATGTTTTTGGGAAAGAAATGTCTCTGTTTTGATTTTTAAAGTAATTATAGTTCATCTTACCTTTTTCAAGCAGTAAATCTGACATATTTCTTACAACGACTGGGATATTGGGAGACCTAGTGAAGCCCAGGGTTTCCATGAATTATACCTGAATCACCTGTCAGGATAAACACGTTTAAACTCCAATTGGACAACCCACCATCAGTGTTAACTGATACCTAAAAGCAAACATTTGACCTCTGGGTCACACAAAACTTCTCACTTCTCACAGCAGCCCCCTGTCTCCCATCTCTCCTGGGCCAAAAAAGGTTGTAATCATTAGTTTCTTTTGAATTTTTGTATTTCAGAACCATAGGCATATTCATTCGTTCATTGTCATAGGGTTTAATACTATAGGTATTCATTCAATACCACTGATCCTCACCTCTATCATCTTACCTAATCTCCAGTGCATCATGGAGGTTACTGATCACCACGCGGCACTGCCTGACTTCTGGGCCTACGTTTGAAACCTCCATGCTTTTCTGCCTCCGTAATTATTTTGTTTGTTTATGCAATAAAATAAAATTTAAAAGCAAGCTAGAATGCTGGATCTGCAATACTAGCATAAAAAGAATTGTATCCATGTTTTCTAGCGGAAAACAGCTTAGCAGTTTGAATGTGTTATCACTCCAAAACCATCATTTGGAAAGGCCTGGCATGTAGTTAAGTGCTTGGTGTGAATGAATGAATGAATGAATGGCTGAGTAAATAACCGGAAGTGAACTGCAAGCGGCAGGAATGGATTTGGGAAAGTCGGGAATTCCACGGTCTGGGCCTGCCAAGGCCTGTACGTGCTCGCTGTGGGGAAACCAGTAAACCAGTTGCCTGGTGTTGAAGGGGGCACGTTACGCAAGGGCACCGGCAGCCTCTGCTGACTGCACACGCCAAAAATCTATGTGAATCCAGCCCAAAGAGCTGGGTTCTAGTTTCCCTCGGGAAACTAGACCTTAAGGACCTCGGACCTCGGTTTACCTATGTTTAAAGTGGCCCTAAGGACCTCGGTTTACCTATCTATAAAGTGCGGATCTTGCAATTTCAACTTTTTCAGTGATGCTCCCAAGAAGTAATGGATATAGTAAGTGCTTTATATAAACCAAAAAGTGCTGGAACAAGGTGGGGGAAGCAGTGACTCTGACAAGGTGTGTTCAAGGTGAACCCTCCGGGGAGCACTTCTTAAATGTGAACGTATACTGGGGTCTCCCGGGGATATTGGTAAAGTGCATCCTGAGTCACGGGTCTGCCGTGGGGCCCGAGATTAGTGATGCTAACATGCTGGCCTCTGGGGATGCTGCTGCTGCTGCTCCGTGGACCACTTTCTGAGTAGTAGCAAGAGGGTAGAAGGGCCAAATCTGTGTCTGTGAGAGACTCGTGGAGGGAGGGAGGAGAAATGGGAGAAAGAACAGAGGCAGAGAAAGAGAGTTCGGGCGAGGAGGAGAGGATGCTAGGAAGAAGGGGAGGCTTCTGGCGCAAGCGAGGATGCGCAGACCGAGGCTGGGAGGCGGCGGGTGCGGGCGGCTCCGCGGCTGCGCGGGCTGCGGGAGGGGGCGGACGCGTGCTGGCGGCGGCGGCCGCGCAGTACCGACCCTGCGCCCGCGGCGCCCCTGCTGCGGCCCGAGCGGCCGGGCTGCGGGATCGGTGGATAGCGATGGCGCGGTCGCGCCGGCAGTGCCCGAGGGCCTGGGCGCCGCTGCTCTTGCTGCTGCTGGCCGGGCCCGTCGCCTGTGCCGCCAGCCCCGCGGACGACGGCGCGGGCGCCGGGGGCCGGGGGCCCCGGGGCCGCGCGCGGGGGGACTCGGGCTCCGACGAGGCGGTGCCGCGCCACGACTCCTCCTACGGCACCTTCGCGGGGGAGTTCTACGACCTACGCTACCTGTCCGAGGAGGGTGAGGCTGCGGGAGGATGAGGGGCTGCGGGAGCGGAGACCCGGGACGGGGACCGGAGGCGGCAGGAGGGGGGGGGGGGGCGGGCAATTGGTTAGGATGCGAATGGAGGCAGCGCCGGCACGGCCGAGGCCCGGACGGGGAGCGCGTGGCTCCCACTACCCATCCGCCTGGACAAGTGGTCTCAAGAGCTGTCAGCGCCTTCCACCCGCTGCTGGCTTTACAGGTGGGGAGACTGAGGCCGGGAGAGGCAGGTGGTCAGCCAAGTCCTGCGAAGCTGCGGACAGGTGGGGCTGAGTCTAGGCTCCCCCAGTTTTCAGCATCTGGCCTCCACTCTCTGTCTCTGTCAGGGATTGGGGTAGAGGGTGGTAAGGGAGGAGACTGCCATCTGGCCTAGGGTGTGTGAGATAAGAGCAGCTGGTGGGAAGCAGAAATCCCAATTTAAAGAGAGATGTTGCCTTATTTCCTCCCTGTCTGTATGGACCTAAATTTGCAGTGGCTAGTGTCCCAAGCTCAGCGTTCTGTTCGTGCTCACTGCCCTGCCCATGAGAGCCGGGTCACATCTCTTTCCCCACTTCCAACCCATTTCTTTACAGTCTTCCCACATGTCATGCATCCCTAGTGTGAGCCACCATTGTTGGGGCCTGGTGGGCCCAGAGACGGGGTGTTTGTCCCTCAATGACCTCCCTGTAGAGGCAGTGTTTCAGTGAGCACAAAAGCCAAGCTGATTTTCTTCAGAAGGAATGGAAACTGGCTTCTTACTTCTGCAATTTGGAAAGTGATTTTCCTTTTCTTCTGCTAAGAGGAATATCCAAGAATCGAGTTGGGCTTTGAAATGTTGTGTGTCCCAGCAGATGATATGACGCTGGATGTATCTGTTACTTAAGATTAGGTTTAGTTACCTACAACAAACAAACATTAATAGCTTAAATAAGATAGAAGTTCCTCTGTCACGTAAAGAAATCTAGAAGTAGGCAGTCGAAGGTCACTGACTACTTTATAAGGAGATTGCTCAGAAGGCCCACGTATTCTACTTACACTTCATTAGCCACAACCTAGTCATATGGTCACACATAGGTGCAGAGGATGCTGGGAAATGTAGCCTTTATCTGGGAAGTAATATGCCCAATTCAAAAGCTGGACTTACTGTATTATATGGAGAAATGGATTTGGGGAAATACATTAGTTGGGTAGATGCTTAACTGCTGAAACAGGGACCCCAACATACAGTGGCTTAAATAAGATAGTTTATTTTTCTTTCACTTGAGTCTGGCTGGTCTGGGCAGGTGGTCCAGCTCTGTTCCACAAGGTCATTCAAGGACCTAGGTTCTTTCCCTGATGTTGTTCCCCCACCCTCTAAGGCTTTGTCCTCATCTGTGTGGAAGTCAGGTTGCTTGCACGTCTTTGTTCAAGCTTAAGGAAAGGAGAAAGAGAGGAAGTTCAGGACAAACAATTACCTTTTAGGCTGGTTGCACAAATCACTGCGGTTCACATTTCTTTGGCAAGAACCTAATTACATGACCTAGCTGCAAGGGAGGCTGAAAAGTAGAGTGTTCTAGCTGGGTAGCCATGTGGTCAGGGAGAAGGAAAGAATGCAGGGGCAGAGTAGGGGAACAACAAGCAGAAGTAGAATCTGTCACTCTATGAAAGAATAAATAGTACAAAATCCATCTCTTTTTGAAAGCATGTAATACATAGTTATTCTGTTCATAGTCAGCCTAGCACACTGCTAGGTGACTCAAAGGTGGCACATGAGAAGTTATATTCTCATTGGGCACATGCATCTAACAAATGGAGAACAAGGTCACATTCTGTCAGTTTGTATATATAGAGAGAACGAAGTTAGTTGTATAGTCCAGGCACTTTTATGAACATGGACATCAGGTGGGCTGCAGCCCAAAGGAAAGCTTTATAGAGTTGAACCAGGAAGTGTGAGAGACTTTGGTGAGACAAAAGGGGGAGGGCACTTAGGTGAGGTGACCCTACAGGGGTAGCAGGGCCTGTGATGTGTACAAATCTCTAGTTTGTCTGCTTGGCACTCTCACCTATTCTGCACATACAACCTGAAGCCTGGCTCTAACCCTCAAAAATCTGCAATGGTTCCAACCTACTCCCTGGAGGAAGCTTCAACTCCTTTATCTGGAATTTTCTGTCTGACCCAACTTTCATTTACAACCATCTCTCACTCCTTCCTTTCCCTCACTCTGAGCTTTCACTGCCCATTCTACCCTTCTCTCTGATCCTTTCACTTATCTTCAAAGGCTGATCCTACAACCATCTGGTGGGTGCTAGTGGGGATGTTTGTGGGGTGAGCCTCCCAGGGGAAGCACGTCTACTAGATTACCCTAGGCCTAGGCTTTAGCCTTGTGGGTCCTGAGTAGAGACTTTCCCAAGATCCTTAGAAATAATCAATGACACTGCCTTAAAAGGGTACTGCCAGAGATGGAGAAGCAGAACGAGGAAATGTCCCAGAATGGTTTCCCACCCAGGAGACGAAGGAAAAAGGCATCAAGAAGAGTGTCCCATGTCATGGGGAGGCCCAGTGAAGAGTTAAAGTAGTTGATGGATCCAGGAAATGAGAGGTAATGGGTGGATTTTCCTGAGATGAGTTCAGTGGAGAAGGAAGGAGGGAGACCAGTTGATTTTGGAGGAAGTGGCAAATGAAGAGGTAGAAATAGTACCTTTAAACAATTCTATCTTTCTATCAGTACAAGTGGGGTTGTCTTTTTCTAGTGACTGGGCTGTTTTCTCTATGCAGGGTACCCCCTTCTCAGGTTCAAAGTTGCCAACAAACTGAATTTTTAATGAAAAAGTAGCCCAGTAGTATGGAATCAGAAAAAGGGAATTAGAATAATGGGGTGGGCATGGAGAATTCCCTGAAACTCTGGTTGAGCCCAGTGACCATTACCCACCTTGTCCAGAGACCATTTCTCCAGTGTCCAGGTTGCCCAAGACCCCCAGGCCACAGACTGAACACTGGCTGATTTGATGTTTCTCATCACCCCCTAACATGTTCATTTTTTTTAATTTAAATTATATTTTGGTTTAATGATGCTAGTTTTCAGAATTCTCGGGCTAAGACATTCTCATTTCGAATGTCTTAGCCTGTACTACTCAGCCTTACAATCCCAGCTCAGTTGCTGCCTCTTTCAGAGGGCTTCTCTGCTTTCCTCCCCCCATTCCCTGCCACTAGGCAAGATATTCTCCCAGAGTACACTGTCTAACCGTGCTGTGACCCTTTGTGCTCTCTGTGGTTAACAGTTTGGATAGGTTCTTGGTGCTTGACTCCTATCACTCATACCCTCTTACCCTTGAGGTTCTCAAAGCCAGAATCTGTATATTCAGAACAACAGTAGAAATATAAAACAGATCACCACATGATTATGGGCAAACCTCCTATTCTGAGGTTTCTCTGAAAAAATGGAGTTGGGTGTTGGCTTAGGGTTAAGTCCTAAGTGAAGCCTGCTGCTCCCTTTTCCTTGCTGCTAAGATTTACAGACCAGGTCTGAGGAGCAAACCCTGAGACTCATCAGCCAGCCACTTGGATGATGGTAGCTGGCTTGCCCTTGGGCCATATCCTACCTTGGAAGGAAACAAGGAACACCATTCAAGGTTGCTTATCTTTAAGGCATAGTAGTCTGACCACTTGTAAAACATGGCATAGTCAATCAATGAGTTTCTGACCATTGAGTTCTGACCACAATTTTTCCCATCTTGGGAAAGAGCTAGTAAGGCAGTAGAGAGAGGAACAGAGCTTGGGGGGAAGGGCAGGAGTTCCTTCATCTGCCTATATTCTTCCTGCGTCTACTGTGTATTGTATGTGGATACATAACTCATCCCCATACATATAAACATTTGGGATGCTTTTCCCCTTGTGGTGCATATATACGTACTGAGAATAAAAAGACCCCCCCCCCCCACTCACACACAGAGGCACATGCACACGTATTTTTTTCATTTATAGTATTTCATTTATAGTATTTATAGTACGTTGGTTTGAACAAAGATAGTGTCACCTTTTTCAGTGACAAAGTAGAAACAGCATATATATATATATATATATATATATATATATATATATATATATATACATATATATAGTTTTGGGGCAGGAGAATAAAACCAAATCACAGAAAAGGTAAATAATTTAAAGGTAAATAATCTACATCTAGTTCATATCCATGAATCTAACCCAATAATAACACTAACTGGAGCTGACTTTTATTAAGTGCCTACTGTGTGCCAGTCACTGTCCTAAGTACCTTACCCATATTAACTTTAATCTTTATAGCAACACTGACTTAGATACTACTGCTATCCCCACTTTGGAGTTAAGGAAACTGACCCCCAGAAAGTTTAAATATTGTAGCTAAAGTCACACAGCTAGAAAGTAGCAGAGAACCGGGTGGGTTTGTTGTTGATTGACTTTATGGATAAGGTGGTGTGAGGTGTCCAGCATGTTTAGAAGAGAAGGCCCTCATGGACCTCTCTTCTAAACACATGTGCTAGGAAATGCAGTGGAACAGGCGGGATGGGGCATTTTTATGGGCAAACTTGAAAAGAGGGGCTTGGAATTGATGGGGTAGTCAGTTGGGAACTGCAAGTTCCTGAGTGGTGGAGTGCCATGATGAAAGCTTTGCTAAACGGGCTCCACGTGGGTGGAATGTTCCATTTTACAAAGTCCCTTGACATTTTTGCTTCATTATATGGTTCTGATAAGCAGAAACGATTCAGGCAGTCCAGAAAGAGAAATAGGCTGATGCAGTAGCTCTCAGAGATTTGAACAGATAATTTCTGGTTAAAACTTCAAGGAATTGAGTACCAAATTAATACCTGAGGGCTGTGATCCAAGCAGTTAATTAGAAGCAATAAATAGCAAACGAGAAGCCATTATCCACCTAGTGGAGTATGGCAAAATAGGCTCAAGGGATTGCAAAAGAGGAACAGATAGTGGCTGCGTGTTAGACAAGAATGGAAACAACAGAGGCATGTTGAGAACCTGG